GTTACTTGTCAATAAGATGTTTAAGACATTTTATAAAATCATATATTGTATTAAGTTGTTTATAATATAAACATATAAAATGTTTATGAAGGAGCATCTCACCAGTGTCCAAGGACTTCACCCAGGAAAGAGAGTTGGATGCTTGGAATTACTCAGCCCCTTGCCATCCAGCCCTAGATACCACTGCTTTTTGAAACTGTTTTTTCTTACCAGCGGCCTTTCAATCATCCAACCAGTCGCCTCTCCCCAGTGATCATCTTTGTGAACTTCCATGACACCATTGATCACTCTGCACAAAAATGGCTTTGAGAAGCAGGAGGATGACGTAGTTAGGAGCTGGGAATCTGGCTGTTTGCTCATGGAGCCCCCGCACCACCATTTAAGAACTCCAACTAGCCTCTTAAGAGAGGCCTGGCTGGCCCCCATCCGTTCCAGCCTCCCCAGCTGATGTGCCAGATGGTCTAGCCCCTGACGAGCTCCCAGGTGAGCACAGTTGCCTGAGTGACCCCAGCCAATGCCACACAGAGCAGAAGAACCTCCCAGATGAGCCCAGCCACCCCACAGAATCAAATGTGTCTTTTGAAAGATGAAAGGCCTTTTTCTCTGCCCAAATATATTGAAAAGAAAAATAAAATGTTGAACTCCCTGGGGCGGGGGTGGAAGGCAAACTTCAGTTTTTCAGGACTCAAGCTACTGGCTCTATTCACAGAGAGGAGAAAGAGCAGACGGTATAGAGAATGCCAGTAGCAAAGGGAACACGTAGACATGCAGAATACTCGGGCTACCACGAGAAATGGAGCCACAGGACCACATGGGCACACGGAACACAGTGCAGAGCATACTAGCGTGAAGTGAACTCTTCTAAAGAAACCAAAAATAAAGACACCATCCTCGAAGACTGCCCAATGAAGAACTACCTAAGCAAAAACTAAGAACTTGGTAATAAATGCCTGATGTAAAATGGGGTATCTCAGCATGGACTATTCAATACAAAACTATGTCCAACCCACATTAGGAGGTTCTGTGCTAGACAAGTAGCAGTGCTGGTACTGGTTAAAAGCCCACTACTCCTTAAAGAAGAGGAACAAAACACTAAACATCGACAACCTACTGTATATCCCTTGGAGTTTCCTTCATCTCATCTTCTTAAAGTCCTGTATTAAAAATAAAAAAATCTCTAGCTCTTATAAAAACTTTTACAGCTAGAAAACATATTTTGATTTAAAAATCTGATATTCAAAATTAATTGAACAAGTAATTTAACTAAAAAGACAATAAGCAATTTTTTAAGAGTTCAGTCTCAATAGAATTCAAAGAAAGGCAATTAATGAATGTCATTTTTCACCTACTAAAATGGCAAAGATGTTTTAAAAAGTAAAGGATAAGGGCTTCCTTGGTGGTGTAGTGGTTAAGAATCCGCCTGCCAATGCAGGTGACACAGGTCCAAGCCCTGGTCCAGGAAGATCCCACATGACGCAGAGCAACCAAGCCCGTGCGCCACAACTACTGAGCCTGCGCTCTAGAGCCCATGAGCCACAACTACCGAGCCCGCGTGCCAAAACTACTGAAGCCCACGTGCCTAGAGCCCGGCTGTGCTCTGCAACAAGAGAAGCCACTGCGATGAGAAGCCCGCGCAGTGCAACGAAGATTAGCCCCCGCTCACCGCAACCAGAAAAAGCCTGCACACAGCAACAAACACCCAACACAGACAAAAATAAATAAAATAAATTTTTTAAAAAAAGTAAAGGATAAAATTCAGCCAAGTTCAGGGAAATTGCTAATGAGTTAAGTGCATGTGTACAACTGCTCTGGAGGGATACGTGAACTATTCAAAGCCTTGAATGTGTGCATACGATTTTGACCTACAGATCACTTATCAACAATTTTCCAAAGGAAATAGTTTAATGATTAAATGTTTTAGCTTTAGGATATTTACTGCAACATTTCTTACAACAGCGAGAAAAGTTCTTGCAAAAGCTTCCGTGTACAGCACTAAGTGGTTAAATGCATAACGTACAATCTATACACCACCATGCAGTAGGTCTCTGAACTGAACTCCGCTTAACACGTTCACACAACTCCCCAGGGCCGTCCCTTCCTGCGAGGCAGCTCAGGGACCTCACCGGGTTATAGGCAGATCTGCAAAATGCTGTACTGAAGGGCCAGGTGAAGCTTAGGATGGTAGTAAGTACAGCGAGGGGGGCGAGGACTGATGCTAGCAAGCTTACGGTGCAGCACACGCTGGGTGCCATGAGTCCAACTGCACGCCTCCAGAGTAGTTGTTTGTTCCCATGACTATTTATGCCAGAAGTGCTCATTCATATTAACTGTGATTTCAATAAACATTAAATTAATACAAATTTTTTTAAAAGCACTCCAGCCGATTCTGACGCAGAGCCAAGTTTGTGACCGCTTTGTGTTTAGAACCCATACTCAAGACTGTTTCTTTCCTGGGAGGACCTTTTCAGAGATGAATTCTTTCCCTCTGTGCAGCCTGGTTTCTCTCTCTTCTGAACTTGATCAACTTCCCATCCCATCAAAGGAGAAACTGGGTCTTGGCTGCAGACTCGTCGGAATACGTCCCTTTGGGTTCCTAGGTGGCACTGTGACATTGGGTACAGCCTCCCTTACTATCAGTACATTCCCAGCTTTACCGTTTACTTCTGAACCAGGTAGTGTGAATCCCAGCACCACCATCTACTAGCTGCGGGAGTCTGAGCAAATTATCAACCTCTCTATGCTTCAGATTCCTGAGTGGCCAAACCCTACAAGCGGGTTACAGAACCTACCTCATAGTGTTGGTGGAAGAAGTAAACACGTCAAGTGCTTAAGAGAGTGCCTATCTAGCAAGTGGCAAGCGCTCTGTGAGCATAAGCATCTGTAATTATTATTACTGTTCATGTTTGTTAATCAGATATATGCTGCCCAGCCCCTAGCAGAGTGTGCTGAAGAGCTGTCAGGTGAATGGAGGAATGAACACTTGGTCCTGTGTCTCCTGTATTCACCATCTGTGAACACCTCCTCTTGGCATGGTTCCTTTTTTTTTTTTGATACAACTTTATTGGAGTATAATTGCTTCACAGTGCTGTTACTCTCTGTTGTACAGCAAAGTGAATCAGCCACATGCATACATATATCCCCATATCCCCTCCCTCTTGAGCCTCCCTCTCACCCTCCCTATCCCACCCCTCTAGGTGGTCACAAAGCACCAAGCTGGTCTCCCTGTGCTATGCGGCTGCTTCCCACTAGCTAGCTATTTAGTGTATATGTGTCAATGCTACTCTCACTACACCCCAGCTTCCCCTTCCCCCCACCCGCCAGTGTCCTCAAGTCCATTCTCTATAAAGCATCTTTATTCCTGTCCTGCCACTAGGTTCATCAGTACCATTTTTGTTTTTAGATTCCATATATATGCGTTAGCATACAGTATTTGTTTTTCTCTGTCTGACTTACTTCATTCTGTATGACAATCTCTAGGTCCATCCACCTCACTACAAATAACTCAATTTTGTTTCTTTTCATGGCTGAGTAATATTCCATTGTATATATGTGCCGCATCTTCTTTATCCATTCATCTGATGATGGACACTTAGGTTGCTTCCATGTCCTGGCTATTGTAAATAGAGCTGCAATGAACATTTTGGCACATGACTCTTTTTGAATTATGGTTTTCTCAGGGTATATGCCCAGTAGTGGGATTGCTTGGGTCGTATGGTAGTTCTATTTTTAGTTTTTTAAGGAACCTCCATACTGTTCTCCATAGTGACTGTATCAATTTACATTCCCACCAACAGGGCAGGAGGGTTCCCTTTTCACCACACTCTCTCCAGCATTTACTGTTTCTAGATTTTTTGATAATGGGCATTCTGACCAGTGTGAGGTGATACCTCATTGTAGTTTTGATTTGCATTTCTCTAATAATTAGCGATGTGGAGCATCTTTTCATGTGCCGCTTCGCCATCTGTATGTCTTCTTTGCTGAAATGTCTATTTAGGTCTTCCACCCATTTTTTAATTGCGTTGTTTTTTTGATATTGAGCTCCATGAGCTGTTTGTATATTTTGGAGATTAATCCTTTGTCCATTGTTTCATTTGCAAATATTTTCTCCCATTCTGAGGGTTGTCTTTTCATCTTGTTTATGGTTTCCTTTGCTGTGCAAAAGCTTTTAAGTTTCATTAGGTCCCATTTGTTTATTTTTGTTTTTATTTTCATTACTGTAGGAGGTGGGTCAAAAAAGAACTTGCTGTTGTTTATGTCAGAGTGTTTTTCCTATGTTTTCCTCTAAGAGTTTTATAGTGTCTGCTCTTACATTTAAGTCTTTAATCCATTTGGAGTTTTTGTGTATGGTGGTGTTAGGGAGTGCTCTAATTTCATGCTTTTACATGTAGCTGTCCAGTTTTCCCAGCACCACTCATTGAAGAGGCTGTCTTTTCTCCATTGTATATTCTTGCCTCCTTTGTCATAAATTAGGTGACCATATGTGCATGGGTTTATCTCTGGGCTTTCTATCCTGTTCCATTGATCTACATTTCTGTTTTTGTGCCAGTACCATACCATCTTGATCACTGTAGCTTTGTAGTATAGTTTGAAGTCGGGGAGCCTGATTCCTCCAGCTCCATTTTTCTTTCTCAAGATTGCTTTGGCTATTTGGGGTCTTCTGTGTTTCCTTGGTATGTTTCAGATCTAAAGCTTCCCACAAATCCTTACAAATGCTGTGTCTTTTGTTGAATCCCTTTACTCCAACTTTTCATCTACCCTCTGCTAACAACAAAAGCTGGGAAATAGAAGGAGGCAAAAATACAAAGGAATCACATAGGGTTGATGGGATTTAAATAATACAGGGGAATTGCAGTAAAGGTCAGGTTTAAAGAATGCCCTCCAAATGCCCTGGCAGGAAACCATGTAGATTGATGGTTGCAATATGTGTAAGAAAAGAATGTGTCCAGTCACATAAAAAGGCATTCAGCCCTCATTTCCTGAGTAGACAGGAGGAAACGTGGTAGGTTCACAATTTAAATTGTCTTGAAAGTATTTATTATTCAATAATTCTTTCCCCCTCTGCCCCACCCAGCCATTCTCTCATTCTACTTTTCTGATCAACCTAAAAACTGAATACATCCTTCTTCTCTATGGAGGATGAGAATAAACACTAAGAGCGATATACTTGCTCAGGCCTTCATCAGGCACCGTGTCACTGTGGGGCACTGGCCTTCAACAAACGCGGTCTTCCTAGGGCTCGATGAGGTGGTCCTTTTTCAAGGTCACTGGTGCACTCATGGAGCTGAAATGCCTCTGCCCATCTAAGTACAACATGGACTCTGGAACATAAGAGAGAGAGCTCTGGAGACATGTGCAGCACCTAAGAAAATCACTATACAAACACAAAACTACTTGGGAACACTGGGACAGCAATGAAAATTCAAAACCGGCACCAGGCATGTGCTGCTGGGCCAGAGAGTGCCTCGACTCTGGCCCTTTGGCTGGACCGGTCCTGACCACCAGTGGCTGCCTGCAGCTGACACTGGCCCTTCAGACAACAGCCAGGCAGGCAGACCAGCAATGGCCACCTGAACGCCATGAGGCATCCTGGCCTTCAGGGCTGCAGAATCTCAAAAGCACAATCCCCTAAAGACATGCTCTAGGGCTGATGGGCATCAGAGTACTTCCTACAACAATTTAAAAGGAGAGAAATGTCTTTAAAAGTTCCCCTCATTAGGGACAAGCAGTCATTTGCCACTTACCTCCATATGTTCTGGGGAAAACCAAGGGCACTTCTTTTTCCGACATGAACGTGAAATGAAAGACATTGGTGGTCATATGCTCTTTATCCTGTAGAGAGGCCACCTCACTGTGTACTCTGACTTGAATGTAATTTCCCTGAGTAAAGCAAACCTAAGCGATTATGGACACGATAGTTAGTTAATTGCATTAGGAAGGGGGAAGAAAGCAGTCATAAGAGAAACGGTGGCTTTAGAATATAAAAACCTCTCTTCTAGGCCCAAATAATAAAAATTGTATTTCATCTCTCATCACACACCTACCTGCGAAGAAAGAAACAGCAATGATCCAACCTCAACAGGTTTCTGAAACATGATATCATCCACGGCAACTATAAATGGTCGGGAACCACTGTTGGGAAAACACAGTACTTGTGGTCAACTGCAAAATTCAGATGATCTCTAGTTTTTTCCTGACAATCAGCTGAAGCAAACTTTAAATGGTCAAAGAATAAACCTAGAGAAGGAGGGAATAACCATACCAGATGGTAAGGGATGGCACTGTGACCAGATCAGTATCTAAATCATCTTTTCCCTTCTGCGTATCATCACCCCTTTTTCTCAGCAGGCATTTAATGTACTAAGGGACAACATCAGCGCGAGAGCCTTCTAAAATGAAGGTCAAACCCACCTGGTACAAGTGTAGCATTTATTTAAAAACACAATATATTCCCAAACACATCCAGACGGGTCCAAAATGTTTCACTGAGTGAGGCAGTATAAACGGCTTCTCAGGAGTTAAGACTACCTGAAATCCAACTCACCCGAAGTTACAAGCAGTAGCCCATCCAAGTTCATATGCTTTCCTCATAAGGAAACCACCAAAGATTCGATTGAAAATGTTCCGCTCCTACAGGACATAAAATAAATATTAATAAATACAAGCCCTGTGACGATCCGAATCTGTAGAACAAAGGAATTCACAATGCCATAGAACAGAGGTCAGTTTGAAGGCGTGTCAACTCTTAGATGAGTGTCATGAGTCCAAGTTATCCTGTTTAGAAGATTTTTCACTAAATTCCAATACCTGAGGGTGGCAAATATCCAAGCTCTTCAGTTTTGAATTCTCCATCCACACTGCATTAGGAGGCAAAACTCGACTTCGAAAACTTACAGTCCTGTACAAATGGAGATCGAGTAAACACTGTCAATGCCATGGCTTTGCTGCTGAAGAGTAAAATATTTGCAAACAATGCCCAATATGTTCAAGCAAGTGTAGCTCGTGAGAAGGCCAAGGTTTAGATGCTTTCCCAACCAGGAATCTCACCGTCCTAACTTACTTTGGATCCAGCGTGTTAAGAAACATCTCATGTATGGTTGTCCTCTCCTCAGCAGTGGGAGCCATTTTCAGTAATGACATGGAGCTGAAGGCGACCCTTGTCCCCTTGTTCACTGGAACAGGAGACAATAAGGAGCTATGATCAGGAGGGCCACACTACAGCACTGGGCTGCCGACCGGGGCTGCCTCGGACCCTATAAACGCAGTATTTCCAGATTTCAAAAACCCCCTGGAAATTGCACATCTGTCCCAGAGAAGGCTGCTGAGGCTACATAACACTTTCAGTGATTTTTTGCTTTCAGATGGAAATCATGTCTGCTCAGTGTGAGACCACTTATAATCACCTTGACCTACAGCCCCAACCAGCAGTTATCTCATTAAGATACATTTCCCATTTCATTAAATGTGAGAAAACAAATTACTTCACTTAATATTGTATCATCAATAAAAACCGTTCAGGGCTTCCCTGGTGGCGCAGTGGTTGAGAGTCCGTCTGCCGATGCAGGGGACGTGGGTTCGTGACCCGGTCTGGGAAGGTCCCACATGCCGTGGAGCGTCTAGGCCCGTGAGCCATGCCTGCTGGGCCTGCGCGTCCGGAGCCTGTGCTCCGCAGCGGGAGAGGCCACAGCAGTGAGAGGCCCGCATACCGCAAAAAAAAAAAAAAAAAACCGTTCAAAGTATGGACTCTGTGGATACTTTACTGGTTTGAGGAGTCCATACATACTCTTAAATAATCTCCTCTGCAGTACAGTTAATGTGCTTTTTAAATTGTATCTTATTATGAACAAATTAATATACATTCTCCTTGTCTAAAGATCTCTTCTTCCTCTGGGCTTTCAAGGGTGAGTGGATTTACAAATGCCGGCCTAAAGAGAAGAAAAGAAAAGAAAAATTTTAAGACATGCCATTACCTAATAAAAACTGAAGGTGTTCATTTTGGGTAACACTTACTGACTGCTTCACATAAGAACTCTGAACAATTAGGGGACTCTTCTGGTTACAGACTTATATACACACTAGAAAGTTCACGTTGTAAAAGGATATGGCCACTTGCCAAAATGTTTCACCTGATTCTAATTATGAGGAAACAGTAAAATATAGGTTGTAGAACATTCTGTAAGACAACCGGCCTGGACTCTTCAAAAATGTCAGTGCCTTCCCAAGGCAATCTACAAATTCAATTCAATCCCTATCAAACTACCAATGGCATTTTTCACAAAACTGGAACAAAAAATTCTTAAACTTGTATGGAAACACAAAAGATCCCAAATAGCCAAAGCAATCTAGCAATTTGGCTAGAAAGAAAAACAGAGCTGGAGGAATCAGGCTCCCTGACTTCAGACTATACTACAAAACTAGTCATCAAAACAGTATGGTACTGGCACAAAAACAGAAATATAGATCAATGGAACAGGATAAAAGACCCAAAAATAAACCCATGCACTTATGGTCAATTAACCTATCACAAAGGAGGCAAAGAATATACATGGAGAAAAGACAGTCTCTTCAATAAGTGGTGCTGGGAAAACTGGACAGCTACATGTAAAAAAATGAAATTAGAACATTCTCTAACACCATACACAAAAATAAACTCAAAGTGGATTAAAGACCTAAACGTAAGACCAAATACTATAAAACTCCTAGAGGAAAACATAGGCAGGATACTCTTTGACATAAATCGCAGCAATATCTTTTTGGATCTGTCTCCTAGAGTAATGGAAATAAACACAAAAATAAACAAATGGGACCTAATTAAACTTAGAAGCTTTTGTACAGCAAGGGAAACCATAAACAAAATGAAAAGATAACCCTCAGAATGCGAGAAAATATTTGCAAACAGTGCAACTAACAAGGCATTAATCTCCAAAATATACAAACAGCTCATACAGCTCAATATCAAAAAAAACAAACAACCCGATAAAAAATGGGCAGAAGATCTAAATAGACATTTCTCCAAAGAAGACATACAGATGGCCAAAAGGCACATGAAAAGATGCTCCACATCACTAATTATTAGAGAAATGCAAATCAAAACTACAATGAGATATCACCTCACACCAGTCAGAATGGCCATCATCAAAAAGTCTACAAATAATAAATGCTGGAGGGACTTCCCTAGTGGCCAGTGGGTAAGACTCCGAGCTCCCAATGCAGGGGGCCCAGGTTCGATCCCTGGTTGGGGAACTAGAGCCCACATGCATGCCGCAACTAAGAAGTCTGCATGCCACAACTAAAGATCACGTATGCCGCAACTAAGACCTGGTGCAGCCAAGATAAGTAAATAATAAATAAATATTTTAAAATAATAATAATAATAAATACTGGAGAGGGTGTGGAGAAAAGGGAACCCTCCTATACTGTTGGTGGGAATGTAAATTGGTACAGCCACTATGGAAAACAGTATGGGAGTTCCTTAAAAACTAAAAATAGAGCTACCATATTATCCAGCAATCCCACTACTCGGCATATATCTGGAGAAAACCATAATTTGAAAAGATACATGCACTCCGATGTTCACTGCAGCACTATTTACAATACCCAAGACATGGAAGCAACCTAAGAGTCCATCGACAGATGAATGGATAACGAAGATGTGGTATATATACAAAATGGAATATTATTCGGCCATAAAAAGAATGAAATAATGCCATTTGCAGCAACATAGATGCAACTAGAGATTATCATACTAAGTAAAGTAAGCCAGACAGAGAAGGACAAATATCATATGATATCACTTATATGTGGAATCGAAAAAAAATGATACAAATGAACTTATTTACAAAACAGAAATAGACTCACAGACATAGAATACAAACTTCTGGTTACCACAGGGGAAACTGGGGGGGGGGGATAAATTGGGAGTTTGGGATTAAAATATACACTCTGCTATATATAAAATAAATAACCAACGAGGACCTACTGTATAACACAAGGAACTATACTCGATATTTTGTAATAACCTATATGGGAAAAGAATCTGAAAAACAATAGAGATAGAGATAGAGATATGTAACTATCACTTTGCTGTACACCTGAAACTAACACAACATTGTAAATCAACTATACTTCAATAAAAAATTGTAAGAAGTCAACGTCTTAAAAGACAGAAAGCAGCAGGGGGATTATTTTAAGGGGAATTATTTAAAGAAACATGATTACCACATATAATATATGGTCCTTAATCAGACCCTGACTCGGGGGAAAAGGTTATAAAGAATATTTTAGGGACAATTGGCAAAGTTTGAATATGAATCATATATTAGATAATATAATTGTATCACCGTTAAATTTCTTGGATATAATAAAGGCACTGAGGTTATGTAGGAGAATGGCCTTATTCTTAGGAGATACATGCTGAATTAGGGTAAAGTAGTCTCAAAATTACTTTGAAACAATTCCAGGGGAAAAAGTATATATGTTTGTATTTATCGAGAAAGGACAAGAGTAAGGCAAATGTGGTAAAATGTTAATTCGAGAATTTAGGTGAAGGGCATATGGGTGCTCATTGCATTATTCTTTCTACATTTCTGTAGATGTGAAATTTTCCAAAATAAAACACTGAGAAAGGGATAGTACTTCACTGTGGTAGAATCCAAAGGTTGGATGAAAGAAAAACGGAAATGAAAGTACAGAAATGGGGGCTTCCCTGGTGGCGCAGTGGTTGAGAGTCCACCTGCCGATGCAGGGGACACGGGTTCGTGCCCCGGTACAGGAAGATCCCACATGTCGCGGAGCGCCTGGGCCCGTGGGCCACGGCCGCTGAGCCTGCGCGTCCGGAGCCTGTGCTCCACAACGGGAGAGGCCACAACAGTGAGAGGCCCGCATACTGCAAAAAAACAAAAAACAAAAAAAACCACAAAAGTACAGAAATGGCAGCTTGGAAAATTAGAATGCATCAGCTGGGAGAGAAGCTTTAAGTAACGCCCTCAGTGCTGGAAAAGGAGCCCCAGGGCAGCCCCTAGGAGCGGCAGGTCAGCTGGAGCTGGTGAGAGGAGCTAGAGAAGATGGGTGGATTCTTCGCTCAGATCAGAGTCACCAAGGGGTTTTTAGATCTTAAGTCGGGTTTCCAAGTCAGCTTTCCATGCAGCAGAAGAGATTTCTCATTGCAGACTCCTAACTCAAGTTTCTAAAACAAATTAGACTTCCCATAGGCCTCTAGACTCCGTCTGTACAAACAGCAATCCTGAAACGTTCCCCCCCTACCCAACTCCCACACACATAATTAAACAGTTTTTCCCAGTCTGAATGCCTTGTGTAACTGGCATTAGGGAACCAAGAATCCAATGTAAGAGAAAAATGATAAAGTGTTAAAGTCTGTACAGTTAAACTGGACTTGGAAATGACAGTACAAATTTATGAGGTTTTTTGTTTGCTTTTTAACATACATCCAAGCCCTGTCTACTGAAAAGGCCTAGAAACATGACAAACTAGTAACAACGTATAGTTCTAGTACCCAGATTTTGGTGTCTAAATACCAGTTTCCCACTAAAAGGAACCTGAGGACTCCTTGGAAAACTGGCTGATTCCAGCCCTGGGGCAGGAAATGTACAGAATGAGTCCAAGACATCTCATTGTACCAGAGAGCAGGAAGTTATCAAAGACTAACTAGGAAATGTCAAAATAGCTTATCACAGCAGCCAGCTTAAAGGAGTTCCCACTGACCAAAGATGTTCACTCTGAGAAACAGGAAGAACAATGGCTGCAATGTATTAAAACATATTTACTATATTAAAATCCATGAACATACAATGATACTTTTTTAAAAAGCAAAATAGCAGAAAAACTATGTCATCACTAGCTAGTAAATGTGTAAATAAAAGCAAGAATGAAACACTGATCCTAACTTTCCTTTACAAACCAAATTGCCCTAGTTGATAAGGGAAAACTCTTCTTTACAGATCTCCAGCTAATAAATATAGAAAGAAATGACAGAATTTGAGAATCATTTTACATCCCCTAATGAAAATAATAAAAGCAATGATCAGCAAAGGACATTAAAAGCACTGGAGGAAGACTGACGGGAAACTAGCTGTTCATAAGATTGGATACATTGGATACACCTTGTACTGTACTACACCTGTAGATTATTGCTGATCACAAGAGGATAAATTGAACTACACAAGGCAAAAATTAAAGTGTGTCGCTACTTGAACCCACACACTAATCTCAGCATTACTATGAGTGGGACAATCTATACCTCCTGACATGATACAATATGAGATACAGAGACATCATCACCTACGAAGCGCTCTCACCAAATACGCTGAACTCAAATCTAATCAAGGTTTAGACCTAACTTCAACTTACAGAAAATACTAGGGAGAGTGAAACAAGTTAAAAAAAAAAATACCACAAGGAAGCAATGAGACAAATCCAGAAAGTGGGATTTGTTAAAGAACAATCAATCTGGGCTTTCAACCAGTTAATGATATGAAAGGATAAGGGGACAGTGGGGACACACAACCATTCCAGATTAAAACAGACTGATGAGACTGCACAATTCTATGAATATACTAAAAGCCATTAAATTGTACACTTTCAATGGGTGAACTGTATGGTATGTGAATTATATCTCAATAAAGCTGTTAACAAAAAAACAGACTTAAGAGATATACAAATCAAATGTAATATGTGGACCTTGTTTGGATCCTGATTTGAATAAGTCGTTAAAGGTATGTGGGAAAAAGTGAATATGAACTATTAGAATATATTAAGGACTTACTATTATTTTTGTTAGGTGTGCGAATGGTAATGTAGTTATTTAAGGAAATAGCCTCATTTTTAAAGCAGTGCCCTACACTGAAGTATTTAGAGGTGAAATGTCATTATGTCTGGGATTTGCTTTAAAATATTATAAAGAAAATAATATACTTTAAAAAAAACAGAAGAAGCAAATATGGCAAAATTTTAAAACTCTTAAGTCTAGGTGATGGTATCCTAGAAATTTATTAAAGTCTTCTCTTCAATTTTACGTATCTTTGATATTTTTCAAAATAAAGAATTAGGAACAAAACTGCAATTACCCTTTGTTTTCAGAATCACGAGCCACCATTACAAATGTCGCATCCAAAACAGGGGAAAATTCATTGTCGTGTAACTAGAGAACAAAGGAAAGAAAATGCAGATGTAAGAAATGCATTTACTGGGAAGACCTACTACAATCCTAACTGATATCACAGCCTTTGGGAAAGGCTGAAATTAGCAAAACAGGACGAGTGCTTTCACTAACCACCATCTGCTGAGATGCCAGGCACACAACTGGGCTCTAGGGGGGAAAAGGCAGCAAGAGTGAAGAGTCTGTGGTCTAGCGGAGGAGAGAGATACCCAAAAACCCAAACAGTGCACAGTGCGAGAAGTGCTGGGATGGGCACAAACTATGGGCCTTGGAGCTGTGAGTGACTGGGACCCAAGGGCAAGGGTCACGGGGGGACCTTGTGCATCACCATCATTTAAGCGTCCCGCATCTTGCAGAACGCTGGCTTTCTCCAGGCCTACCTGTCCTCCCAAAGGCACACACAGCCAGGCGGACCTCCCATCGCTCTCCCAGACATTTGTATTTTCAGGGAACTTGAGTGTGCCAACTACCAGGATGTGTTTGTTTCCTTAGCCTGGCACAGGGGCTTCCAAGAAAGGGTAAGATCAAGGAGAATTCTGTGGATTAAGCTAAATATTTACAATGCAGAGGCCATTGAGAGTTTAAGGTATTTTTTTTTTCCCTAGAAGTCTGTACTTCCAGGAGAGTCATATCATCAAGTCATATCGTAACCTGAGGGTACAGGTGGTTCCATCCTCAACAAACCGACCACTAGTCCTCATCACCACTACCTGTTCAGGCCGTTATGAGCCTTCCCCCTCGACTTGCAGAAGAGTCTCACCAATCTTACTATGTCCCTGTCCTATTCAAACCTTGCAAGAGGTCTTCCTTTATCCCAGCATCTGGTCTACGCCTGCTGGCATTCTATGTAAAGCCTCCACCACAGAGCCCAGATTCCACTCTAGTTGTTCACCAAACACTCCCGGCATGCCTGCACTCCTTTCTCTAGCCACAGCTGACAACTTGGAGGTCCTGAAATGTCCCATTTTGTCACCTGACCGCCTCCCCTCCAAGCCTCTGCCAGATGCCTTCCTCAGGGCCGGATTCCTCAAGACACTCCTCCCCTCCCCAGCCCCAGTCCTACTCCCCAGGCAGAGTTCATCACTCCCTCCTTTGTTTGCCACCTAAGTGGAAACAAAGTCCTCTCCTGACAGGGGTTCTCAACATAAGCGAGGAAGATGTCATCCCCCGGAGGGCATCTGGAAATGTGCAGTGCTAGTGATGGCTGTCCCATGAGCTGGGGGACACTACTAGCGCAGTGAGGGGTAACCAAAGAGCTAAACAGCTCACAAGGCAGGGAACGGTCCTGCAAAGAATTTTCCCACATACAATGCCAATACTGTCCCTGTTCAGAAATAGTGCGTAATAATTTACTATATCATAATCATTTATTTATGTGTCTGTCTCCCTACTGCACCAAGAGCTCCTTGAGGACAACGACCATTTTTATTCTCATTTGTTTCCCATCAATTGACACAAAGGCTGGCAGACAGCAGATACCGGATCAATGGCTGCCAACTGCCGACGAATGAACTGAGGCAGCTAACTACTGAGCACTACTAGAGTGTGAACTCCAAGAGAATGGAACTTCCTGTTTTGCTCACTGTTGTACACCGAGCACAGACGGGGCACTCCATAAATCACTGCTAAGTCAACGTTAAATGAATGCCGTCAGGAAGTGGGCGAGGTGACTCACACCCAGATCCTGTTGTTGAGGCGCACATAGTCGAGTGGAAGAGAAAAGACGTTCATACACAGCTCTGCAAGGCAGAGGACAGCAGGTCCCAGGAGAGAAGGTCAGAGGGAAGGAGGCGTGGGGAAGGAACAGGTACTATGAGCTGAAAAGATCAGGGAAGGTTTCGAGCATGAAGTGACCCAGAAGCACAGGTGGAATATGGATATGCAGAGCCAGAGCCCAAGGAATCCCGGCAAAAGGAAAAGTGTGCGCGAGGATGCTCATCCGCTCACCTACTGTTTACGTTCCAGTGTATTACAATGAACACTAGTGCTGAGCATCGGGGATGCAAGGTGAACAACTCTCTACTCTTAGGATGCTCAAGGTCTCCAGCTGTGCGCTCCAAAAAGGTGTGTGAACGGTAAGTTGGAGGGAATATAGCTGCAAAGGTAGGTTGGTGCTAGTTTATGGAGCACCTTAGATCCTAACTAGTCAAAGCAATTTAGACTTTGATCCACAGATAATGGTCACGGAAGGGTTTTGAGAAGGGAAGAGATGTGATTGAAGATCGGCTTTGGAAGACCTATCTGGAAGAGATGTATAAAATTAACACAGAGAGAACAGACAAGAGGCAGGCAGAGTAATTAAAAGATAGCTAAAGGGCTTCCCTGGTGGCGCAGTGGTTGAGAGTCCGCCTGCCGATGCAGGGGACACGGGTTCGTGCCCCAGTCCGGGAAGATCCCACATGCCGCAGAGCGGCTGGGCCCGTGAGCCATGGCCGCTGAGCCTGCGCGTCCAGAGCCTGTGCTCCACAACGGGAGAGGCCACAACAGTGAGAGGCCCGCGTACCACAAAAAAAAAAAAAAAAAAAAAAAGATAGCTAAAGTACTCACACAAGAGGCAGTGAGGGCTTGAATGAAACACAGAGGTCAAAGGGAAGGGAAAGAAAGGACTCTGATGAGTAGCTGTGGGTGATGAATTCGCAAGACTTGGCAAAAGGCTGCACAGGAAAGGGAAAAAAAATTAAAGCTTTCACAAAGGTTTGGAGCTGGGAGAAATCGGAGGGTGGCAAAGGGGAAACCTGAGGAGGGTCAGGATTGGAAAGGAAGCTGATGCACTCAGTTTGGAACACACTGGACTTGAGGTAGCGAGAGCACACTCGGAAGAGAGCTCTAACAGGAACCCCAAAAGGCAGGTCTGACGGTCAAGCGGGACCACCTCCATAGTAATGACGATAAAGTAATATAATGGCCAACATTTGATTAGTGGTTACTGTGATAACAAAACAGCATCTCACAGAAGGCAAGAAATTTGCCCACAGTCACATGGCTAATAAGCAGCAGAGCTGGGATTTGAACTTACATTTCAGCCAAACCAGAGGCAGGGTACCTATTGCCAAGCTGCCTCTCTGGAATAAAGGATCACTCAAGCCGTGAGTTATTAATCAAAATGGCCAATGAGAAATGCAAATTTAAAACAAAAGTCTGTACTTCTCTGGCACTGATTTTCACTGGCTCTCTCCTCCCAATAATTCCTGTATCTCTTTTTCAACCTATTTGTCCAAGATTCCTTAGAAAGAAGGTCTTATTCCAGGAATCCACCGTGCATCAACCATGAAGATTAAAAAAGGGTGCGAACAAATCAGAGGAGCATCCCCAACAACTTTACGATATTTGCTTTAAAAGCAGTATTACCGTCAGTTACAGCAACATGGAAGTTAAAAAATTCAACTGTTTACATACAGCATCAAATAAAAAACTACTTACCTATTTTGACAAACAACTTTAATTACTGCAGAGCAACCTTCAGACTTTTTCCAAAACGTGAAATGCTTCATAATTTCACGTATCTGAATGACAGATCCACTGAATACCCTGACATAACTGAATAAGTCACCCTTAAGTAAGTTTTCACAATGAAATCTTCAACATACTCTGAATTATTTGATTTCTGTACTATGACCCTCTTTGAGGTACTTTTTCTTGACAAATTTCTTCATTTCTTTATAATAGCTATTCTGAGTTATGCTCATTAGAGAGGCTGTTCCTAACTGCTGTAGTAATCTCAGTGACTGTTATGGGTTGAACTGTTTCCCCCAACAAGATATGTTGACGTCCTAACCCTCAGTACCTGTGCACGTGACTTTATTTGGACATAGGGTTGCTGCAGATGTAATCAGGTAAGATGAGGTCACACAGGAGTAGGTGGGCCCTTAATCCAGTATCACTGATGTCCTTATAAGAAGAGAAGAGGACTCACCTGGTGGCACAGTGGTTAAGAATCTGCCTGCCAATGCAAGGGACAGTTTCGATTCCTGGTCCGGGAAGATCCCACATGCCGCAGAGCAACTAAGCCCGTGTGCCACAACTACTGAGTCTGTACTCTAGAGCCCACAAGCCACAGCTACTGAGCCCATGTGCTGCAACTACTGAGCCCACGCTCCATAACTACTGAAGCCCGTGCACTCTAGGGGTCCGCATGCCGCATCTACTGAGCCCACATGCTGCAACTACTGAAGCCCACACGCCTACAGCCCATGCTCTGCAACAAGAGAAGCCACCACAATGAGAAGCCCACGCACTGCAACAAAGAATAGCCCCCCGCTCGCCCCAACTAGAGAAAGCCCACATGCAGCAACAAAGACCCAACGCAGCCAATAAATAAATAAAAGAAGAGAAGAGAAGAGACACAGACACACAAGAGAAAAATGCTATGTGATGAAGAAGGAAGAGATTGAAGTGTTACAACTACAAACCAAGGTATGCCAAAGGGCCAGCAAACCACTAGAAGCTAGGAAGAAAGCACGGAAGGCTTCTCCCCTACGGGTTTTAGATAGAGCATGGTCCTACTGAGACCTTGATTTTGGATTTCTAGCCTCTCAATTGTTAAGACAATTAATTTATGTTGTTTTAAGCCACATGGTTTGTGGTACTTTGCTACAGCAGCCCTAGGAAACTAACAGTCACCAATCCGATTCATGCTTAACAGAACTCAGACTGTAGGGAAATTCTCTGGGGCAAAACTAGAAACAAGTACCTTAACATGGAGCTGTATATGATTTCAAAGTAATAAACAGTAAGCATAAACACCAAATTACGTGTCAGTCTATGTCCAGGAGGAGGATATTAACACACCATCTGTATGATGTGAACTTGAATTGTTTTTCTATAAATGGGTGAACTATATATCTGTCTATGGATAGACAGGTGAATAAGCTTTTCTTTCACTGAGACTAGCTGGTTGTATTGGAACAAGGGGGCAGTCTTCGGGCACAGACACACCTGGAACATATGCATCTTCACTTCCATGGACGTCTTCCCAACCCAACTAACATGGCCACTGAACTTGATGTCCTGTTCTGGGCTTAAGCTCTTCTTACACATATCTACAAAACAGAAAAATCAACCTGAGCCCAAACCATACTCCAAATGTTCTATACTGTAAATGGACAATTTCATTTGAAATTCTGGCAAATTTCACTATATTTCCTTTTTGTCTTCAAAACTAAAAATAATTTTTCAAAAATAATTTTTGAAAAATTAGACAATGCAAAGAGTATAAAAAATAAAACTGGAATCATGTAAAACTCTTCTACCCAAAGATAATTATAATAAATATCTTGGTATATTGCAATCTAGACATTTTCATATGCACATATATACATAAAAATTCCCCCATAAAAGGAAAACATTTCCTCTAATCTCAATAATATTTTATAATTACTAAAAATTCTAAGTATGTCTAGAAAATAATATCACTTACCAATCCTGTCCACCAGGGCTGTAACTATTGATAAAGGAGACATCTTAGCTGAATGAATTTTGTTGTGCATGTAGCAAATAAGAACTGTAGGAAAACAGAAGAGAACCAAATAAAGGAAAAGCAAAATTATTTTTTAACATTCGCAATTTACTCCCTGAAATCAGACAGGGACCTGCTGGGGAATGGACTTGGGGATATGGGGAGGGGGAAGGGTAAGCTGTGACAGGGCGGGAGGGTGGCATGGACATATATACACTACGAAGCGTGGAATGGATAGCTAGTGGGAAGCAGCCGCATAGCACAGGGAGATCAGCTCGGTGCTTTGTGACCACCAAGAGGGGTGGGATAGGGAGGGTGGGAGGGAGGGAGACGCAAGAGGGAAGAGATATGGGAACATATGTGTATGTATAACTGATTCACTTTGTTATAAAGCAGAAACTAACACACCATTGTAAAGCAATTATACTCCAATAAAGATGTTAAAATTAATTAATTAATTTTTTAAAAAAGAATTGGTATGTGAGAATAAAGATGAAAAACAGGAACCTGATACAAAATCCTGATGTCCAAGCTGAACTATATAGACCATTTAAATCAGAATCTGCAGAAGTCGAATCCAGGCATCAGTTTTTAAAGCTACTCAGGTGATTTCAATTAGCATCCATGGCTCAGAACTGCAGATATAAAATAACAACCCTTTCTGACTTACTTATATACACTACCAAATATAAGGTAGATAGCTAGTGGGAAGCAGCCGCATAGCACAGGGAGATCAGCTCTGTGCTTTGTGACCACCTAGAGGGGTGGGATGGGGGGGTGGGGGGGAGGGAGACGCAAGAGGGAAGAGATATGGGAACATATGTATATGTATAGCTGATTCACTTTGTTGTGAAGCAGAAACTGGCACACATTGTAAAGCAATTATACTCCAATAAAGATGTAAAAAATAAAATAAAATAAAAAATAAAGTCTTATCTGGTTTTGAAGACCCAATCCTCCATATTCCACTAGTGGTCTTTTCCTAGAACCAAAGACTTTTTTATACATTGAAGAGATCTGGGAAACCTCTACTCTGACTGTTCAATTTTAGATTTGGTGAGGAAACTGAAGCCCAAAGCCCAGGCCCGCCAGGTGGCTTATTACCACTCAACAGAGACACAGTGCCTAAATCAGAAAAAGACCCCAGCACATGAGTCTGACAGCATCAGACATCTTCAAAAAAGAGAAACAAATCACAAGGGCTCAGCTACCTGTTTTCCTCTTGACTCCTTCCTAATCATGAAGCTATTATTTGCCTCAGAGTTCTCCCTCCTTCCCTAAATCACCCTCAGCTCCTACACCACCCTGTGGTTATCTGTGTACTTTCCATATTTTAACAAGCATTTAAAGGTACAAAGCATGGTTCTATGTACCTCACAAATATCAACTCATTTAAAACTGTACCGTACTTCTTTATAGTGGTCTCCCTGCTTGCCCTATGATTCATTCAAATTTGTATCATCGGGACTTCCCTGGTAGCATAGTGGTTAAGCATCCTCCTGCCAAAGCAGGGGACACGGGTTCGAGCCCTGGTCTGGGAAGATCCCACATGCCACGGAGCAACTAAGCCTGTGCGCCACAACTACTGAGCCTGTGCTCTAGAGCCTATGAGCCACAACTACTGAGCCTGCGTGCCACAACTACTGAAGTCCACACGCCTAGAGCCCATGCTCCTCAACAAAGACAAGCCACCCCAATGGGAAGCCCACACACCTCAACAAAGAGTAGCCCCTGCTCGCCGCAACTAGAGGAAGCCCGTGCGCAGCAACGAAGACCCAACGCAGCCAAAAATAAAAGAATAAATAAATTTATTAAAAACAAATTGTTTATCATCAACCCTCAGGACAGGGTCTGTGCTCAATAAATACTCGTTGAGCAACAACAAACCCTTTCATCCATGCACCTGCTAAAGAATGTAGTGGGGGGATGAGGGGCGAAAGGCAAGAAACTCCATTCAAAAAACTTGTGGTACCCAGAGAAGAAATCCTAAGTGTTTGACCTTCCAAAGCATTAGTGGAAGTGAAAGCAAGAGAAAAGGTCCAAGAGCTAAGAAGAAGGCAGGCTTGACAAGACCTGAATTAACTCAGGTTTCTAACTTGCATGAGTGAAGATGGTGTACCATTCACTGAGAAACAGAATACAGCACAGGAAGAGCAGAATGGACTGTTTTCAACATGCTGAATTTGAGAAGTCCACGGCACATCCAAATGAAGATGGCCAGTAGGCAGGAGGACAAACTGGTCTGCAACTCACAAAGCACGCCAGGAAATGTAGCTTCTGAAGTATTCCACATACTGAGAGCAACTGAAGCACTGGGATTGAAGATTATTTATAGAGAAAGTGCAGATACCAACAACAAAAAGGGCAGCAGACAAAACCCTGAAGATAAGCGACATTTAAAGGATCAACAGAGAAAGAGGAATCTACAAAGGAGACTGGGAAGTAGCAGCCTGAGAGGCAGGAGGAAATGTCACCAAGGCCCAAGGGTGAGTTTGACATCATTAGGAGCTTCAAAGAGTTTGGCACAATCAGCTCAATGGCATGGAGGAGCAGAAGCCAGAACACAAAGGTAGCTCTAAAGTGAGAGAGAAAGAAAACTGGAGAGTGTTATAAGGGAAGGACACTTTACCTATTTTTCACTGGAAGATGCAGAGCCTTGAATATGTTTAGAAGTTAAGGGAAAAGTGAGGTTGAGAAAAGGCTTGAGATACGAGGGAGATATCTTCAGGGTACGTGATAAGGCAAGTTCCTTGAAGAAACGGAAGGAATAGAATCAAGTGAACAGGTGAAAGGGACTGGCCATCAACAGGAGGTGATGAAGAAAAACAGGGTAGTGGCAGGGGAGTTTGTATATTTAGGGACACCTAAGTAAACCGAAGTCAAGTGAGTGAGTGAGTGAGTGAGTGAGTGTGTGTGTGTGTGTGTGTGTGTGTGAGTGATTCTTTTTTAAAAGGCCAATAAGAATTTTAAAGCAGGTTTATTTAATCTGAAGGAAAATATAGCTAGCCGTAAGCCTAACAATGGATTTGTGTCTCTATTTTAAAGATTATTAGAGCCTTTTTTTAAACCCTTTCCCAACATTTCAGTCCAAAAGCCATTACGTAGGAGCAAGCAAGACAGACAGCCCAGAGTCGGGTGCTGAAGCCCAAGAGGGGTCAGGAAGATATGCAGGGAGGCAATGAGAGCAATGGCCCAGCATGCCGCAGCCTGAGCACAAGGAGGAGGGGGACCTGGGATGGAGCAGAATCCCACTGAGGTGAGGAGAGCGTTCATGAGGGTTTCGGGATGGCAGCAATATGAAACTGGCTACATACGGGGGAACTGATCAAATAAGTAAATGTACTACAGATAATGGAGCCAGCTGGAGAAGGGAATTACAAATATGAAAAGGGAGGAATTAAGAATGAACCTGTGGTTGAATTAGAATTGGAACTATCAGTATGAACCCAGGGTTCCAATAGATAGACAGATAGATAGACAGACAGACAGACAGGTAGACAGATAGGTAAGGAGGGAGAGACAGGGAGGGAGGAAGGAAGGGAGGGAGGGAGAGAGGAAGGAAGGAAGGAATACACATACAGGCAGGTATAGATGTAAATGTACATGTACGTGCATATATTCCCCAGCTCATCCACTGAAAGCACACAGGAATAGTGATACCCCAGCAACAATGACAACTCCCAGCACCCAGATCTTGGTTTCTAAATATCATTCTCCATTAAAAAGAATCAGGGCTCCTCAGAGATTTGGCTGATTCCAGGACTGGGGCAGGGAAAGTACAAATGAGCCTAGAAATGTTGCACCACAAAGTGAGGAAGTGCTCAAAGAATGATGGGGACACAGCCAAAAAAATCCACAGAAGCCAGCGTGAAGAATGAAGGGCAGTCCTGGGACAAGTTGAGCATCAAAACAGATGATAGAAATATATTATAATCCATTCAGTAAAATAGGAATCCCTGAGTTCATACTGATTTTAAAGTAATTGATAAAAGTCTAATGAAGAATCGGATATTTACAAGGTCTCAAAGTACCTCCCTACAAGGTACTTATTAATTACAAAGGGGAAAAGAGTAACTTTACAGCAAAGAACCCTGGCAGACACCACCTTCATCAAGGAATCAAAGTCAACATCACAGTAATGGGACAAATTAGAATTATGCACTACCTGCTAAGATGCAATAAAAACACAGCATCCCTTCTGTGGACACTCCTGCCAAAGATGCACATCCCAAATCTAACTTTGGGGAAGCATCAAACATACCCGAATTGAGAGAAATTCCACAAAAGAACTGGCCCATAACCTTCAAAAGTATCAAGGTCATTAAAGTCAGGGAAAGACTGAGGAACTATCCCTGACACAACAACTAATTGCAACATGTGATTCAGAACTGGATCCAGAACTGGATCCTTCTGCTATAAAGGACCTCTGGCCAAAGCTGAATGGGGTCTGAGGATTAGACTGTCTAAATATCAGTGTTAATTTACTGATTTTGAGGGTTATATTGTGGTTATGAAGGAGAATGTCCTTGTTTGTAGGAAGAACACATGAAAATATTTGGGGGTGACGTGCATCGTGTCAGCAACATACTCTCACATGATTCAGGGGAGAACAACTCTTTGTACTCTGCAACTTTTCGGTAAATTTAATTAAATAATTATGACAATTCAGAAGTAGCAGATGCCCTTCTTTTTCTGCTCGTTTAGAATATCTTCATCTGTGCAAGTTAAAGAATAAAAAGACCCTTTCCAGGGAAACTGGGATGAAGTGAGAGAGTGGCACGGACATACACTACCAAATGTAAAATAGCTAGTGAGAAGCAGCCGCATAGCACAGGGAGATCAGCTCGGTGCTTTGTGTCCACCTAAAGGGGTGGCATAGGGAGGGTGGGAGGGAGATGCAAGAGGGAGGGGATATGGGGATATCTGTATACGTATAGCTGATTCACTTTGTTATAAAGCAGAAACTAACACACCATTGTAAAGCAATTATACACCAATAAAGATGTTAAAAAAAAAAAAAAAGACCCTTTCCAGCCAGAGGATTCAATGTATTACTGTAAGTACCAGTTTAAAAATACTAAAATATCAGTACCTCCTAAGCTGTCAAGATCCTCAAGAATCCTGCCAAACCTGTGAAATAAAGAAAACTGTGATGAAATGAAAATCATAAAAAAAATAACACTATGGGGTGATAAATATCTACCAAAATTGATTATGGTGATGGTAGCACAACTCTCTAAATATATGAAAAACCAGAGAATCACACACTTTAAATAAGTGAACAGTATGATGTGTGAATTATATCTCAAAGTTGTAATAAAGAAAGGAAATAAAATAAAAACAAACGACACAAACAGAAATAGTGCCATGTTACCTTACAGTGTTTTGAACAGTCAAATATTTCTCTCTTAATTCAGGCTGACTGCCCAAAGGTAAGAGAACTTCAATGTAACTGTCTTTCATTCTCCTAGGTGGCAGACCTTTCTGTGATGCAGCCAAAAAACTATGAAGCAATTTTCTTTCCTCCATTGCTTTCATATGGTCTCTGAGAAGAAAGGACACAAGCTTCATAAAACATAGGACAGTGCTATGCCCCAACTCCAGTGACATACAGGTCAGTCAGACACCATCAAAAGAGGAAACAGCAGGTCCGGACCTACCTCATCTCCTTTTCCTTCCCTCCCTTCCTACCTGCCACTTGGTGAAATCAAAAATTTCTGTTAAAATTTCTCAGGCTAGTAGATAAGAAAAATACACTTATAAGTGACATAGATATATCCAAATGAACTATATATTCACCCTCATCAAAAAGTGTATTCAGGGCTCCCGTGGTGGCGCAGTGGTTGAGAGTCCCCCTGCCAATGCAGGCGACACGGGTTCATGCCCCGGTCCGGGAAGACCCCACATGCCACAGAGCGGCTGGGCCCGTGAGCCATGGCCGCTGAGCCTGCGCGTCCAGAGCCTGTGCTCCGCAGCGGGAGAGGCTGCAACAGTGAGAGGCCCATGTACCGCAAAAAAAAAAAAAAAAAAAAAAAAAGTGTATTCAAAGAATAGAATCTTTGAAATGAAATTAAAAATACAGAAATGGACATAATAGAGTGTAAATATATGTACATATATATATATATATATATCTGCGCTAAAGAACAACATAGCCACTGAACTCCATATTCCCATTTCTCACCTTGACAAGTCTCGTATCCTCTGTGCCCCAGCTCTCTCTCTCTCTGCCTTCAATTTCAGGAAAGAGAGACAGAGGAGGAAAAATGGAGTATATCCAAAAGAAGTTTGGAAGGCAGAGCAAAAGGTAAAGAGGAAGAGAACATGAAAAGGAGACAGAAAGGGAAGAAAAAGAAGAGACGATTAAGGTGGAAGAAAAGAGAGAGACAAGGGGATAGGGAACTAAAATGTTGACAATATCACTCTTTCTAAGCTTTACTTATTATTGCCAGAAAAGCATAGCCTACAAAAATATAGGGAGGGAACTGACGAACAAGTTAAATGGCACCAGGTAAATCCAGAACGTGGAACATTCAACAAGACACATGGCTTGGCCTCTTTAAAATCAAGCTCATGGGGGGAAAAAAAAAGAGGGAGGGATAACTATTATTCTAGATTAGGGGAGACTAAAGAGTCATAACCACGAAATGCAATATGCAGTTGTTTACCGGATCTTGATTTTTTTTTAAAAAAGCTATAAAAGATATGTGGGGAATAATTGAGGAATTCTGAATATGGGTAAATAATATGCTATTAGGGAATTACTGTCAATTTCATTATGTAAGAGAATATCTTATTTGTTGGAGATGCACGACTGCTGATTTTGTTACATAGGAAAATATATTTATTTATTAGAGAGGTATTGGAATATAACTGGAGCTGAAGCGTCACGATACCTTTATAGTTTAGCCAGTATATGTATATTGGCAAATCTGGAAAAACGTTCATAAGTATCCAATTCAGACAGTGGGAACAAAGGTATTCATTTCTTCTGCTTTTCAGAAAATTGAAATTTTTCATATAAAGAGATAAAAAGAAGTCATTAGATAATTTTTATACCAAATAGATTATTATTGTTATTGTGCTTTTTCTTTTTATCTCATTTTAGCCTCAAAATTCTATGCACCAAGAGGGATATTATCCTATTTTAAAGCAGGGAAATACTTAGAGAAAAGAGAAAGATTGTATGGGAGGCCTGGTTAATTGTGACCTGACAAGAAGCAGTAGTCAGGGTGCATGAAATAGAAAAACCAGGAACTTGGGTTCAAGTCCCAAACCTGGTACTCAATCACTCAATGTCTGAGTTTCAATCTCATCATGTGCAAAAAAGGAAGAGGAACATATGTCATAAGCATGTCACAAGTTTCACTGAGAATCAGTGAGGTAATACTCCTGAATGCACTTTGAAAAATGCAGAGTACGTGTAAATTACATGATTTTATGACAACAAAGCATCAACTGATGAGTATGTTGGAATGTTGATCTTCTCCCCCAAGTAAAAAAACCTCTCAACCCATTTCTGAACAAAGGGTTCCCCCCATTCCTACAGTGGGACCATCAACTGAGCCTAAACACAGGCTAGCACACCACTTAGGGATAGAAGAACGAATAAACACAGAGCACATACCTCCAGTTTGTGGATGCTCCTACTATCTCCCGCAACTTATCTCGAACTGAAACAAAAATAAAGAGGTCATTCCATGAAACAAAGAAAGTAAGAAATGGATTATGGCAACCAGCTCAAAAACTACGAAAAGCGATTCACGCACTCAAAAGCTTCAAAGATCCATGAATTTCCATTTAATGCCACAAAACAAACAGCTCAGGGAAGGGATCAGGCCTCTGCTTCCCAAAAACTTGAAACAATTATTGTCTCCTTAGTGCAGAAAAGAATATCCTTGTGTCAATCACTGGGATTTATACAAATAAGCAAAAAAGGATAACTCCAATTATTCATCTGCTGGGGCTGTATCAGTGTTGGTAGGAGTCCCTTTACGATGGAGATATTATGAACAGAATCCCTGCCTATCTTCTTATAGGCAGTGAGACTAAGACTAATATCAAAATTTGAGTCTCACTCTAATTGATTTCTCATATATGTATACTACCCTAAATGTTAGAAAAGTTGAGGCAAGAAAAATGAAGCAAGAAAGGAAAGGCAAAAAAAAGCAATTTAAGTTTAGTTAATGCCCATTGCCCAAAAGTGCAAGAATGAATTAGTGCGAAAAAAAATTTAAGCACTTATAAAAAAATTGATACTGATTACCACACACACCGTGATTCACATGTATTGGTGAACATGCTATATGGATAAAGGGGAAATAAATTAGATAAGCAGTAGTAAGTCAATACTAAAAAATAAATCTATAGGATTTTAAATAATGTTTTGAGTTCATGTGTTTTTTTCTATCATTTTAAAATACATATTCTGGTTACAGAAAATTAACTATAGCAATCCTTGGTCCTTCAACAACTAAATATCTGATCAAAACCAAATATGGTTAGATGAACATACATCTTAATTTTTATGAAAAAGTGGTTGCTTTTCTATCAATTGTTAATTTTTCTATCAATTGTTATAGGGAACTCCCTGGTGGCCCAGTGGTTAGGACTTGGCACTTTCACTGCCAGGGCCAGGGTTCAATCCCTGGTCAAGGAGCTAAGATCCTGCAAGCCACAGCCAAAGGAAAAAAAAAAAACACCCACCATTGTTATATACCATAAATTAGGTGCAAACTCTAATTACAATGAAATCATAGCGTAGTACTGAACCAAAAATATCCATTAGTAAATTAGTCTTATTTCTGATTTTTTTTCCTCCTGAGTTCCTTGAATAAAAGAATGGACAGAAAGTATCCCAAGTAGTACACAGACTACTGATGCTCAGTGACATAAAATGATTATTACTAGTTTATATTCAGTGTAAGAAGAAAGGCAGGTGTTGAGGGCCAAGAAACAAAGCAGAATTTTAAATTATATATATGCATATATATTTATTGGGATCCTTTAAACAAGTCCCAGTTTTCATTATAATGAATATTCCTACATTGACAAAGACATCCATAGTTTGCATATGGATTAGTTACTGAAATTAACTTCAATTAACAGGGTCCCTCTAACAAAATTATAGCCTAGGAGCGTTTAGTTGGTACAACTGAAAGGCCTGTCTCTTGCTTATGCATTAGATCTCTTTTTTCCATGCCTTCCACTTCAGTACCTACACAAAGGAAACAGAAATCATTTAACTAAAAGAGCTCAGTCCCCAAGGCTCCCAGGAACCAAAGCTCAAGTACTGTATGTGATTTCTACCCCAAGCTATCCTGGTCATTTTCTAAGTGAGAAGTTTATGAAAGATCTACCTTTAGTATACCTCATTTGCCCTAAACTGTCTATCTACATGCTTCGTAAATAAAGCAGGGTTTTCCGCCCACATAGGCCTAAAAGGTAAACACCCATGCTTGCCTTCATGAATGTGGAAGACTCTCTGTTTCTCGGGATTCTGAGATCCTTGAGTCAGTCCTCTGCTGGGAGCAAGCAGCCCTTTGCTCAGGGTACAAAGCCTACAAAACAAGATGAAACACGCTTCGAGAAGGTTCCATGACTTCTTCCCTGGCAACCCCAAAGATCTGTGCCTCCTCCAGAGCACTCAGCCACCCCACACCCTTAGTAAATACTGTCTTATAGGGTCTGTACATGTTTCTCAAGTGTATGTATATTTGCATATGAGGCTACTCCGTAAATCATCTCTCCAATAAGAGTAAACATTTCTTGAGAGCAGAGACCAATTAGGTAATGATCTACAAAATAAATAAAAGATATCAACCAGGTTTAATGGATTTATTCTTATTAGCTTCAGAAGCCCAAAATCAAGTTGGTAAACAGCTGAGTAAACTAATTATGAACATTTATTTTGTTATTGTCATACCATACTTCCTCAATAAATAAGCTAAACCCAATTATAAGTCAATCAACTTTGAAAACAGAATTAACCCTTTCCAGGGTTACTCAAAGAGAGTATTTATTGGACCTAGGCAGAAATTTCCTACTCCCCAATGGATTAAAGTCAAAGCTATTTACCCCAATATGCCGAAACTGTTCTCCCAAAATAAGTTGTTTAACTTGATTTTGGCTCACTATTGCTTAACTGTCGACTCCTAACCACACACTATCCTATCAGGGATAACACACGTATAGTAGTATCAGGGACTGACAAATTGATCTGTTGAGAGCACAGTGGAAGAAGGCAAGGCATTGAAAAGGTAGAGAACCCCAGATACTCTTACTCATTCTAGCTCAAGTGACTAGTAAATTCTTACTACCTAATGCCAGGTCCAATGATGACTAATCTATTTTTAAAAAGCATGTTTTAAATTTTCTTTAGAGCCCAAATTTATTATAGATTTCTCTTCTGAATTACAGCATACAGGAAGAGCCTCTGAGTAAAAATATTTGGTAAAATCTACATGTAGTTTTGATACTTGTCCTACTAGAACAAATCCTGGTCCTTTCACCAAGTCAACTACTCTAACTGCAGAGAACACAAAAATAGCAGCACATGCTCACTGGCTAATTCAACTCCTTAGCCAGCCACTCATCACACTGGCCCTGATACAATCCCTGCTGGTTCACTAAGCCTGGAATGCTTCCTAAAGCGTTTGGGGTTTGGGTTTTGTGTTTATTCTCCAATCACACAGCTAACAAGCCTCTATCTTACATAGTTGTGGTTTATTTTTTCACAATGAATTTTCAATTTATGTACTTTTATATGTGAATTAATATTTCAGTCTTCTTGTTCTTGACCTTCTAATTTGCATTTTCTCAGAATGTGAGTTAAACTTTTTTCTTTTTCACTATTTCATTTTATGTATTTTCTGTAGGTTCAAATCCCTCACTGAAGGAAACAAGAGCATGTGGTCCTTCCTTCTGCCACCTCAGAAACTATCGTTCTGCAACTGAAATATATCAGGTTTTAAAAAGCACACTGGAAAAAGCTAAAATCTTCCATTGCTACTATTAGCTGAAAGAGCAAAAAAAATCATGCCCTCGATACATTAATTAGCAATAATAATAGTTGCTGTAGATGATCTCAATATAAGAAATGAGATCTGACTCTGAATGGCTAAATACTGTGAATACTCATCACAAACTAACAGGAGCTGTAAAACTGATCTCACATATTTGGGTAAATACACATATATACAAGCATTTCTGTTTTGTTCCTTAAGAAGCAGCATTTTCTGAAAAGTGATGAAAACCATCCCATCCTGCCTGAGTGAAAAGCAGTGTAGTATACAGAGGTTAAGAGCCTGACCATGGGGACTCCCCTGGTGGCACACTGGTTAAGAATCCGCCTGCCAATGCAGGTGACACGGGTTTGAGCCCTGGTCCGGGAAGATCCCACCGCAGAGTAGCCCCCTCTCACAGCAACTAAAGAAAGCCTGTGTGCAGCAATGAAGACCCAACGCAGCCAAAAAAACATACTTAAAAAACTCTATTCCAGAAAGGCATGCTTCTCCAAAGTCTCCCCTAAAAGTCAAAAATGACCAGAAATTTGGAAATAAGCCAGGCACTATAATGGACCATCTCTGAATGGAGACTCAAACGGAGATAGTAAAGAGGGGGCTGATGAATACAGAGAAACACTTGGGCCAAATTATTTGGAAAACTGTGGTCCTGCAGCCCTATTGGTTGCATACTGCCATAATAAATTTGAAAACATATCCCTGTAACACAGCAAAGGCCTAATGTGAGTGCTTTTTTAAAAATCATTGATTAGGGCTTCCCTGGTGGTACAGTGGTTGGGAATCCGCCTGCCAATGCAGGGGACACGGGTTCGAGCCCTGGTCCGGGAAGATTCCACATGCCACGGAGCAGCTAAGCCCATGCGCCACAACTACTGAGCCTGTGCTCTAGAGCCTGCATGCCACAACTACTGAAGCCCGTGAGCCGCAACTACTGGGCCCACGAGCCACAATCACTGAAGCCCACGCGCCTAAAAGCCGGTGCTCCGCAACAAGAGAAGCCACCGCAATGAGAAGCCCACGCACCGCAACGAAGAGTATCCCCTGCTCGCCGCAACTAGGGAAAACCAGCGCACAGCAACGAAGACCCAACGCAGCCAAAAATAAATAAATAAATACATAAATTTATTAAAAATATATATATATTAAAAAATAAAATCGTTGATTATACTAATCATATACTGGTATAATAAATTTCTATTCTCTTGTGAACATTCAGCTTATTGTAACTTTTCACTACAATTTGATATAATCCCTACTGATAATCAGATGAAACCTGTGGACCCTCGTGCCTAGTAGTTGTTGGGGGGGGAATACATTTTTATTGATACACAAAATAGTATATACTATTTCAGATGGTTCACAGACCACTCCCTTTTGACACCCCCATGGGCCCCTAGATTTAAAAAATTGTGATTCAGACCAACCTCCTGAAAAAACTTGAGGCCCGAAGGAATTAGATGACTTTTTCCCTGCTAGTCAACTGGCACACTGGGTAGAGCCCAGCTCTTCTAATCGCTCCCCACCTCATACACACCATACATGTAAGGAAACTGCTCTTCTCACAATCTCAGGCTACTTCCCTTTATCTATGCAACACTGAGGTGGAGGGAGCAGGGGAATGGTTCAATCACTGCTTAACACCTCAGTACCTCAGGGTTAATGGCTTATTCCCTGAGAAGCCCTCAGGAGTTTTACCTACAGCAAATCCCTAGGCCTTTAGAAGAAACTGTCAAGAGGCCTCTACAGTCAGGCCCTAGGACTCCATGATTCAACCTTTCCAATAAAAGGAGACCAAGGAGCCCAACCTCTCCATGGCTAGCCAAGGGAGTCACAAAAGTCGCATGAAGGTGTGAACGTAAGTGTCTTAGCTGTTCTGGGTTCCAAGCTTAGGGTGGGTGTCCGGGAAGAGTTTTCAGTACAAAAACAGGCAATGCCACTCATATGCCCTCCACTCTGGGGAAATGCCTCAATTTAGAGACTAAACAAATTCAGATGGCTCTTTTGTGAGTTGGGGGAAAAAAGAAGTACAAAGATTGCCCACCAGTCAAGTAACCTAATCATGTCAGACAGTCTGTATTCATTTATGTACTCTTTCTCTCTCTAGACACTAATGGAATACCTGCTTAAGGTTCAACAGGACTCAAAGGAAACGAGCCACAGGTTTACAAGGAGTTCAGAGCAAAGACAGAGGACTTCCAAACTGGGGGGGAGGAGAGACCAAGGAAGGTTTCCTGGGAGAAGACACATGAACCAAACCCTGGAGCTTGTAAGAAGGCCTGTCACATCATGTGCAATGCAAGCTAAAGCCAACTGTGGCTCTTCTTGTAATGACCTTCAATCCATCTTCAAATGGTATAACAAAGTAAATAAGAGAAGAGAGAGACAGAGAGACACAGAGAACCTATTTCAACTGAGAGCAAGGTCCACAGGGACAGTGAAAGAGATCCAGGGCCCCCAAGAGAACTGCTGGGGATCACTGTCACTTGGAACCACTGTGGGCCACACCAGGGGGGCTGGCATACCTATAGCGGGATGAATTCAGAAGCTGCAACAGGGGTGAGCCCCCTGGGACCCAACCAGGCAGAAAGAACTTGGAACAGCCAGAGTGCTCCGGTGAAGGGGGTTGGGGGAGAGCCAGACATGCCCTGGAGTCTAAAGCCCTACACCTTAACTGGACAAGCTGGGATGATGACTTACGCAGAAAGGCATCCTCCTTGTCAAAGGGGCCCAATCAAAGCCACTCCCCCACCTAGCCTTACCGGCCTTGTTGCTCAGTAAAAGTAAAGTGCAATCAGCACCAGGGGCCCTGGTCACACAGTCCTGAGGTCCTGAAAGCCCAAAAGATGCCCTGCAATCTCTACCCACATTACAACACACTTAAGTCGAGTCCAAGTCAGTCAAGCACTCAACCTTTAAAACGCTCTGCAAAGGAGGGCAGAGGGCCGGAAACGCAACGTGCAGCCCTAAGTACTAGCTTTCTGACAAGGGGCTAACTCCAAACCACCCCCCTGATGAGCAAGGAGATAGGAATTTCAGGGAACGCCCAACTTCCTCCCTTAAAGTGCCTCTTCGCTTTTAACATCAAACTCCGGGCCGGAACACGCGAAGGTGGGGGGTGGGGGGCGCGGGGCCCCACCCTAGGCCGGCGGGGTCGCGGTAGGCGACCGCCCTTCCCCACCCGGCCCTATTTTCTGCCCAAAATCCCCGGCACTAGTTCCGCCCTTCGCAGCCCGCTCCAGCAAGCGGCGCGGAGGGCGGGCCTGGGCGCCCTCCGGTCCGCGCCCCGCCAGGCCCCTGGCTACCTACCGCAGTGCCGCCCGCCTCATGGCGCTTGCCCGCCGCCGTGCACGTGACCACAGACCCGAGCCCCGCGCGCCGGTTGGCGGAGGGAAGTTGAGGCAATGGAAGGCGGGAGAGGGAGAGCGTTCGCGGGCGCCTGACTGGACCTAGCTCCCCAGGACCCCACCCTTGCAGCGCGGCCGCGGTCGGGGGCGGGGCCTCGTTGCCCGGGGGCGGGGCTACGCTGCGCTTGAAGGCCCACTCTGGCGAGAAGCTGGAGTTAGTCTCTCTCCTCCATTGTTGATTAAATGCATCAGGCGGCACCGCTGGGGTGTGCCTAGAGGCTAGATGCAGCCACGTCCTTGGAGCTTGTCTCCGTTATCCCGCTTCGCTGAAGGCTGCGCGACCTTCACCCCCAAGCCCCGGCTCCCAGTTGGCCTTTAGCTGCACGTTGGAATCTTCTGGGCAGCTTTCCAAAATACCGATGCCTGGGCCTCACCCTATGGAGATTCTGAATTAGGCGTGCAGCCTGGTCTTCAGGATGTCTAAAGGCGCCCCAGATGATGCTAACGTAAGCAATGGTTGAAAACCTTTACTCGAAGGGGAAAAAAATTGTTCCTCTCCTAATCTCGGTCTGCCCCCTAGTGTTTGACGGTTGGAGATCTTGGCCCGCCCAGAGAGATTCAAGGCCAAAAAGTTAAGATGATTTTTACCCTAGGATCTGATTCTCCATTTCATTCAACGAATTCTTATTCAGCTGTTTGCAGTGCGCAAGACGCTGTAGATTCTGGAAATGCAACAAAACAGACAAAACTCCCTGCCCTTAGGGGGCTTACCTTATAGGGAAGGAAAACAAGTCAGCAAGCAAGTTGGCAAATTATATCGTTTCAAACGTGATAAAGTGGTCTAAGGAGGAAATAAAATAAGGTAATGAGGGGGGATCTTTCCAGAATACATGCCCGTCTTGCTTTGTCCTTGAAGATGGTAATTTCCTAAAAGGCAGGGTTGATACCGTATGTTTTTTGATACTCCATGCTTACTAAAAGTTTGTCAATTTTAATTAAGCTGGCTTTTTAAAAAAATCACTTTATGAATTACAAATGGAGCACGGTCTTTGGCTTCCTCTTTCCTCTCCACCTAACTTTCCCTGCTTTTATCAGTCTCACATCCAGAAGACTGTCCTTTTGGCCTGCAGGGATCTCGCCTTCCTTTTAATTCATGTTGTCCATACCTTATCAGGGACGGTTTTGTTTTGTTTTGTGGAGGCTATACGGAAACCGGAAACCGAGCAGTACCCCACAGGGCCTTCCCAGGTACAGATTCCCCCCTCCCCCACCATATCTCCTGCCTCTCGTTTATAGAAAAGCTTTAGCCTCCTAGGCCTTCCCCAAGTTCTATGAAGCAAATTTACTCAGAGAAGTGAGAAGATACAGAAACAAAGGAAAAACAGTCAAGCAAGACAAAATAATAATAATTTAGCCAGAAAGCAAAGTCAAGGACCTTTAGCTCCTCCTCAAGAGCTATAAACAATATCCTGAGCCACGTCCTCGATTTGTTTGGCAGACACTGAAACTCACACCAGGTGGAAGAAGTTTACTGCATGCTGCCCATAAGCACGTAGACCCCAGACCAGCTGGAACCAGAAGGTTGATGACGTTTAACTCCCAAAATACCACCCTGTTACCTCACCGCCAACCAATCAGAAGAATGTCCACAAGATGATCAGGCCCCCTACAATCCTCACCTATAATGTGGCCTTTAAAAGCCCTTCCCTGAAAGCCATCAGGGAGTTCGGGCCTTTTGAGCATGAGATGCCGTATCTCGTTGCTTGACCCCACTTTGGGTGCCTTGCAATAAACACTATACTTTCCTTCACCACAACCCGGTGTCAGTAGATTGGCTTTACCATGAGTCAGGTGAGCAGACCCAGGTTTGGTTTGGTAATAATACTTCCTTATACTCTACCACACCTAACACAGTGCAATAAATATTTTATCAAATTACACTTTTTGGTTGGTTTTTACTTGAACTTTCGGTTGAGGCAATAGTAGGTTCAGGGAAAAAAATTAAGTTCAAGAGAATTTTTTAGGTTACATAGCTGGTGTAATGATACGTAGGGGTAGCTTGTAATTTTGTGCAATCAAGTCCCCTTCCAGCCAGACACATTCTCATCAGTGTATAATCAGGGTATAAACAGTGTCAATGTTGGCTGGAACAGCTAGAACCAGGGACTCAGTGCCAAAAAGATGCCTCTTCTCCATCATTTATCTTTGCTATACTTTGCATACTGGCTTCATTCTTTTTTCTCTGAATAATGGCTTCCTCCACATGGCCAAAGCATCTCCTGAACTTCACATTTTACAATCGCAGACACATCCACATTCTTGGAGACTGACCCGAAAATCTGTATCCCAAATACAAAAAGTCCTGAAAAGAGATTCATTGGCCCAGGTGGGATCAGGTACACACCCCTGGACTGGTCAACTGTGGCAGCAGGGCAAGGTGATGTGATTGGCCCATTTGACTTACCAGGAACCTCCTTACCCAGGCCCATGGACAGGTCACCATCTACTAGTATGGCTATTTCCATAAGTAGCCTCTCAGAGGGGAATGTGCAGCACTCCTTAGAAAAGGAGTACAGAGCAACCAACCCCACAGATGTCCCACTGCAGATGTTATTTATTTATTTTATATTTTCTTTTTGGCTGTGTTGGGTCTTCGTTGCTGCGCGCCGGATTTCTCTAGTTGCAGCGAGCAGGGGCTACTCTTCGTCATTGCGGTGCGCGGACTTCTCATTGCGGTGGCTTCTCTTGTTGCGGAGCACGGGCTCTAGGTGCATGGGCTTCAGTAGTTGTGGCTCGCGGACTCTAGAGCGCAGGTTCAGTAGTTGTGACGCACGGGCTTAGTTGCTCTGCAGCACGTGGGATCTTCCCAGACCAGGGCTTGAACCCGTGTCCCCTGCATTGGCAGGCTATTCTTAACCACTGCACCACCAGGGAAGTCCCAGATGTTATTTAAAGAGAAAAAAAATGATCTCATCACTTAGCCCACTTACCTTAATTCTAACCTCAGGGAACCCCTGCTAAAACCCAGCCAGCCCAGCATTCAACCACATGTCTACAATTATCTCAGTTGGCAGCATGAGTAAAATTCTTAAAACAGCTTAGCAACCCTGATTTCTATGTGTGTGGTGGTAGTGGGGTTGTAAATGTGGTATATGCTATACCAAATTTTGGACAGCAGGGATAGAAAGGAAAGTGGTCACAAAATCAGGCCAGGAAACATGCAACAGTTGTATGGTGGTGAGAATCACTGTCCTGAATAATAGATTGTCCACCCCACCTGTTTGTTGTTATTCTCCGTTAGTTCTATTCTGAAATGGTCTCAGGGTAACAGAAATGGTATCAAATGTATCATTAAAATCAAAGACACCTCATCATACACTGACAGATACATAAGACATTATCAATGTCATTATTATTACAAGTAGAAGAATCATAACAAATAACAAAACCTAACAATACGTTATCAGTTCAACCTAGTATTAAGAGTGAAAAGTATCTAGTAAGCATCCTTGGGCTGCTAAACCATAGATATTTTTGGATATCTAATTCAGGTAGAAAATGTTGTTGGAAAACTGTCATCAACTTTCAAACAAATTGATTCATGCTATTATTTCATTAGGATAGAGAAACCACTTTTTAAAAAATAGTTTATTTCCCAGACTAGAGATTATACAAAATAAAGTTGTGAGGGGGAGGAGGAAACAATGGAAAGGTGATTTTCCCCCTAAACCTGAAAGACTAGTGAGCTGTTACACGAAAATGCTTAGTATTATATCCACTTGTTCCAACAGAAGTAAAACCCAGGCTAGGAAATTTCAAAACAGTGGTAATTTTTTATCACTTTCCTTACCTTTCCTCAGCTCCACCTTTATGACTGCTCATCAAATCCAAGTGTTGAAAGGTTTTATATCTTTAGCAATGCTCTTTTTCCTCTAACAATTTCCTCTTGCTTAAAAATGGCAAACATGTAAAACATGTCATACTATTAGTGACATGGGATCAGAGGGTTTCTTTAGGATAGGACGTCTTCATCTCAGGGTGTCCTCTTCAATAAAGATGTCTCTTTCAATAAAATAGGACTTAAAAGGTAAAATTTCAGTGGGCAACTCTCCTACCCACGCCTAATCTTCTGATCATTCTTCACCTTGTCACGGCCACCCTCCTTCCCACTTCATCCACTCTCTCCAACAAATTCCGTTCTCTTCCATTCGTTCCTCCCTCTGCATCCTATTTCTCTCCATTCTCTTGCCCACCCACTTTCCATCATTTTTTTCACACCACCCCAACTGCTACCATCCTAGCTGGGAAATAGAGCCTCCCCTCAGACCCCAAGGCAGCCCATTCAGCTGGGCCAGCATAGGAGCCAACCCTGCCATTCCTCAGCCCAAGGAAAATCAACAAGTACCTCTGATACAATTACAGCTGCACCAGGATGCATAGCCATAGAGGGAACAAAGCTATAAACATAATTCACTATCTCTGCAGAAGCACATGCTTCAGAGTGCCCGCAAGCTTTCGAAACTGACTTTACAATGAGGATTTGTATATTTTATAGACATTAAAATCATGCTGGTTGTTTGAATTTACATAACACGTTTTCGGGTATAAATTTGTATCTTGTGCTATTTGGAGACGGGGCCACACAAAGACAGGATGGTGCCATTAGTATTAGTTGACTTTATCTTCAGAAACAGTGGCATTATTCTAGCTGGTTTATCGTTATATGTGATCTTTATGGGATTGCTAGACGGCTTTGTTCTGTTTATATAGGTAACTCATTAGCACACTGCACAGGACACCACATATGGCTTCTGTCTGGCCTCGTCTGTGGAGATGAAAAAACCAAGCCTGGAGAGAAGAAAGATCCTTGTTTTACTCAGAAAAAGGCTCTTCAAAGTGGCCATTTTTTCCTTGACTCCAGTTCCTACTATAACCCACAGTTATTCCCCATGTATTGCTCAGGCTCTTGCATCTCCCTCACCCTGGCCCTAGCAGTTACTGTAAAAATTCCCTGAGGAGATATATATATCTCCCTGAGGAGGTATAGGTATAGATAAAGACATAGATATAGATATATAGATACCGTCAAAAATAGCACAACTGAAACCACCAAATCAATAAATAGTATTTAGCTCTCAAACTAGGAGCTTCCAAATTCAAAGATTGATATGAAGCTCATGGGCATGAAATTAAAGGATAGTTTATAAAGTGAAATGAGAAAGTTATTAACGTTTACAATGACTCATTATTACAATGGGGGTTCCAGATGGCAGGAGATTGGTTAAAAGTGATTCTCTTATACCATTTTTAGGAAGATGACTTAAGTTTTATTATGACTGTCAGAGGCATTTATAAGAAATAACCTAAGGGGGCTTCCCTGGTGGCGCAGTGGTTGAGAGTCCACCTGCCGATGCAGGGGACACGGGTTCGTGCCCCGGTCCGAGAAAATACCACATGCCGAGGAGCGGCTGGGCCTGTGAGCCATGGCCGCTGAGCCTGCACGTCTGGAGCCTGTGCTCCGCAACGGGAGAGGCCACAGCAGTGAGAGGCCCGCGTACCACAAAAAAAAAAAAAAGAAATAACCTAAGTTTTGCTTATGTTCATGAAATAATCTAAACTTAGTTTTGCTTCCGTGGCTTGCATGGTTTTGTCTGCCCAGGGAAGCCTCAGGTTTGGTCTCCCTTTTGTTATGTTTAGCAATTCCCCCCTTTCTGGTCATTATCTCAGCAAGCTAAGGGTGTGGCCAACTAGTTTAGCATTACTCTTGGTAACCACTGTTGATACAGCCAGGCTAAAGAATCACACGTTCATTGTTTCCAATAGTTGAGTCAACAGGATGGAGGGTCATGTAGTTGCTGTTACTAACAGCTGCATCATCATCATAGACATGGGAAGTTAGATCACTGAATTCTTCAGGTTGTCTAATCCTGATGGATATCATTTGGTGTAAGAGAGGCTAGCAAAAGGCATTTAAAACCCTTGGGAGGATACAATGCACTAGAAAGGTTAACATGATGACTATAATCAGAATAGTAGCCAAGAATTTTAAAAATTCTCAAGGGCAGAGAATCCCAGAAGCTAAGATCTAACCAACTAGATAACTCGAATGGGCTGTAATCAAATTCAGGCTTTACCTATATATACACATATTATATTTATATATATATATATATATTTTAACATACGCACAACACGATGTATTAGCAATCATATATCCTCATGATTACCTAGGACAGGATGAACATGAGGATGTTTCAGTTCAGGAGGTGGTACTGCAGGTGTGCCTCCACCTAAGGCCTCTATATGATGTGTGCAATAAGGTAATTTAATAAGACGCATTTCTATGGAAATAAAAGAAAAACAAGGGTTAACAGTTCGAGCAAATTATAAATTCAGTTTCTGAGTTTGGAGAGCAGCCAATTGAGAACATTTCTAGATTTGAATTCGAAGCATCTTTAGGGAGTGGAATAAGGATGGCAGTTTCAATCTGTGGATTTTCCTGGTTTGCAGCTTAACTGTCTTTGATGTCATCAGGTATTCTACTGAACTTTCTTGAGCAGCCTTTACAGCAACAAGCATGAAGGTTGTCCATACATGATCTATTGTGGTGATTTCTCTGAAGTTTACAAGTAGATAACGAAACCTCAAAGACAATTAACAGGACTAGAATTTGATAAAGAATACACCATACTTTTCTATACTTACCTGGTAGGAGAGATACCATGATAACCATAGTTTTCTAGTGAAACAATTTTTTCCATAGTCATCCCACTTTTATCAAAATACTTATAGTGAAACTAATTTGTTTATAAGTCATCTTATTAAACTTGGATAGATTATTTACATAAATGTAGTAAGAATAGTAATTCTATGCAGATTCTCAAACATGACATTTTGGTCAAAGCCTTGGTAATATCCAAGGGGCTTTACTGGCTCCATAAAGTCAACTTTAGTTCTTTAAAATTGCCTGGTAATAAAGAATTTCAGATTAGACCTTTAAAGTCTCTTTAGGCTAAGAAGCCAAGCTAAGGACTTGTTTACTTGTGTCCTGCTACAAGAAGAACAAATTCTTATTGAGTTTATATAAATACATATATTGTCATGAAAAGAAGAGTATTTAATAAGAGTTTCTGAATTCTGGAGGGATTAGGTAGGGAGAAAAAGATAAATGTTTCAACTTTTGTTTACAAAAGCATACTTTCTCAAATTGCTGTCAAGTTATAAATATTAATAGCTTAAAAGAGAGGAGCAAAAGGAGTCCTTTAAATCTGGAAAACAAAACATTAAACAACCAGCAATATTTAAAATGAAGTCATAAAAGTTATAATCATCTTCATCAGTTCATTCAGTCTCCTGTAATTAATTTTTGTTTTGCTTCATCTTGGGTTAGTAGCTTTATGAATCAATCACTTTTCCAGTAGAGTCTTAGAAATTCTTACCCAGTTCAGTGTTATGATCTTAAAGTTATCAGAAACTTGTATTCTAGAGTACTTGTTAATATCTTTTCCATAAATCTCTTTGAAGATGAAGCATTTTGCCTGTAGATGATTACAAGTGCTTTCAGAGAGGAATCAAGAGTAAAACAATAACTGTGACAAAAGACTTAAAAACATCCATGGTTAAAGATCTAGTCAGAATTCACCAAAAAATGATGCCCAAGTTATTATTTTGTGACATACAATATTATAAAATAGTCACTGGAATTTTGACTGATAACATTATACAAGGACATACCAGGTTTTTAGGAATTTCATATAATTTCTAGAACACATATTAATAATATATACTATGTAAATATAATCTAAGAAGGTCAAACATTACTTTTTATTTGACAATGTTTGCCATGCAATTTAATATCAAATAAGCCTAAATAAACTGAGATTTCTCTTTTATAAGGAGAAAGAGCAAATTTTTTCAGAACTTCCAGGGGCCCTCTGGAAAATTCCAAAGTTAGTTTGAGGTCAAAAAGACTTCATTCAGAATTTGATTTGGGGAAGTTTGTTAAAAATGTCAAAAGATTTGAAACGCTTGATCAATTAGGAGTGTAAGTCACTATGACATAACACTTAGTTATCTGTTCACCAAAGTGATAACTGAAAGATTTCAAAGGCAAATATAGGAAGTTATATAGCTGTAAAAAACCTTAGCTCTTAAAATTGAAAAAACTCAGTTTTCCTAATTAAAGATCTGATAAAGACAATGTGGAACACAGGAAATATTTCCCATGACACGGAATCCTTGTTTCCTAGGCAGATTACATTAAAGGTAAAGAAAAACATTTTATAATATTTTATTAAGAACAGACCCATAATCTAAGAAATTTTGTGATTTTAACAGAGAGAAAATTAAACTCTAGTTTTGTATCAGTACATTACTGGGCTCATTTTAAAAATCCTTGTAAATAAATCTATTCAATTTTAGCCAGCTGTGACCTCACAACATAAAATTTCTCTTCCACAAACCTTTTGCATCTTTCTATATTCATTAAGGTTTTGCCTTCTTCTTTTTCCTTTCTTCTTCTGAAAAAAAAAACAGTCATTTTATTTTACACATTACTCTCTTTCTCCTTAACAAAAACACATCCTATATTCCTTGCATACTCCTCATATGAAAATACATTTTATTGTAAATCAACTACAATTTTTTAAAATTACAAGTTCAAACCTCATAATAAGGATCACTTTGATGTTCCATATCCCTAGAATCAGCAATATTTTCACTATTATATTGATTTCTTCCAATCAATGTGAGGGAGAGCAATGTCAGTTTTCATTTCTTTGAATCAAAGTACAAAACTGCAGGGCAGAATAGTCTAACAAATAATGTTCATGTGCTGTTGGTTGTCAAAGAGAAGAGTTAGAGGGAAAGAGAAAACCAGACATCAGCTCCTCTCCCTAAAATACACTAAACAACCAGCTCAGGTGGTTTTGTGTCCTGTTCACTTGTGCAGTAACTATTGCTCGTATCCATGCCATGTAAACTCAGTCTATTATTTTCAGGATGTAGAACACACCTCTACATCCTTAGCAAGGAAACAGAAGAGCCAGTCTCATAATGAATGAGTGCTTTGGCACTTGTTAGGGGTTTGTATCCTCGGGTTTAGATCAATGAGTTCATTAATTTCCTAATGCTAGATATTCAGGGGCTTTATGGAGAATGAATAGAAGTTCTGTTGACAGAATTAAAGGCTATGTAGCTGTGACAAAATTAAGAATGTCTCAGTTCTACTCTGTTTTTGGAATCTGAAGGGAGAAGAAAGTATGTAGAAAAAATATGCAAACACTTACTGAAAACTGTTTGTTCCTTTTTTATTCAAATATTTTATGGAGTTGTTTTTTATGAAGAAATGAAATAAATCTGTACTGATATTTTTTTAAATCCAATTTTCTTCCCTTTCTTTGTATACAAAGTTGTTTTCCTTCACTCTTTATTGTTTCTAGTACCTCTATTTTTACATATGAAAATTACAAAGCAGGCAGTAGTGAACTATCTATCATATATTAGCACCCTATGGTAAATTAGCAAATTTATAAATACATAATTATAAAAACTTATATTTTTTAGAAACACGTTTTTCATAGTACAATATTTAATGTGGTTTTAATGTGGCAAAAGACATATTTATTAATAGACCCAAATATCTTTGTCTCTGTAAAAATTAAGAAAAATAAATAAATTTAAATTTATGTTTAGTGATCAATGTCTCAGTAAATTATCTTATTTGGAAATGATCTAGACAATAAATGTTCATTATTTAGTTTAGCTTAGTATAAACTTTTATTTTATTTACATTTATTTAAATTACTTGTTTTTAACAATTATGCTTAGATTAGCCATCAAACAGCTAGCCATCATCTTAAGTTATTGTTTTTTGTTTTTTGTTTGTTTGTTTGTTTTTGTTTTGCGGTACGCGGGTCTCTCACTGTTGTGGCCTCTCCCGTTGCAGAGCACAGGCTCCGTATGTGCAGGCTCAGTGGTCATGGCTCACGGGCCCAGCCGCTCCGGCATGTGGGATCTTCCCCGACCAGGGCACGAACCCGTGTCCCCTGCATCGGCAGGCGGACTCTCAACCACTGCGCCACCAGGGAAGCCCTTAAGTTATTTTGTAACATAGAGATAGCGTGAGCCTATGTGACAAATAAACCAAGGTAGAAAAAGTTATATGTTTGCATTACATTTAATATTGACAATTCCAAAGACAAGGCTGTTTTTATTAAACCAACAAACTTAAACTAACTTTTATTTAACAAAGATTATCCTGATCATGTGAACTTGAAAACAGCTGGATTAGAGTTTCCATTTCTGAGAGTTTTAGGAATATTTAATTTATACATGCACTTATTTCTCTTTAAGCCAACTAAGTAGAATTCTTTTTAAAATATCAGGGGCAGAGTCAAGATGGCAGTGTGGGAAGATGTAGAGTTAGCGTCTCCCCACAACTAGGGTGCCTGCCGGCCGCTGGTGGGGAGACCCGCAAGGAGACAGGAGGAACCCTAAAGTGAACCAGTAGGACGTAGGGGTACTGAGCAGGGAGGAGAAGTGGAAGCCAGACAGAATCAGTGCCCCTGAGGCCAGGGAGATCAGGAGAAGCAGGCGGTAGGGGCCCTCCCAGACCGGAGAAGCAGGACAGGAGGGCGTTTACCCCACCCACTCGAGCCCAGGAAGCCTGCTGGGCTCCTAGGTGAGGTCCCCTGCCTTCTGAGACCAGGGGTTGGGGGGGCACACCTGGGCCCCTTCTGTTCCTTGATCCTAAGCCCCAATCCCCACAGCCCCCAAGGCCTTTTCCAGCCCTGTGGGTCCTGAGCATTGCCCCTGCCCACCGCCCAAACCTCACCCTTGCTTAGGCCCTGCCCTCCACAGCCAAGGCCTTCCCCCACCTTTTTTTCCCCCTCCTCCTCTTTTTTACTAGTAGTTCTGTACTACTAGTAAAACTACTGGTACTGTAGTTCTTTCCGGTTGTTGATTCATCTATATTTTTACTTTTATATTCTTCATAACATATCTGTTAGTTTCCTAGTCTAATTTTATATTTCACTTTGTTATTGGGGTTTTTTTTGTTTTTTTGCTTTTTCTGCCGCTCCAGATGGCTTGCGGGATCTTGGTTCATGAGCCCAGAATTGGGCCTAAGCTCCTGCGGTGGGAGCTCCGAGTCCAAACCACTGGACTAACAGAGAACCTCAGACCCTAGGGAATATTCATTGGAGTGAGGTCTCACAGAGTTCCTCATCTCAGCACCAAGACCCATCTCTACCCAATAGCCTACAAACCCCAGAGTTGTAAACCTCAGGCCAAACAACCAGTAAGACAGGAACACAATCCCACTCATAAAAAAAAAAAAGAGAGACACGGCAAAAAAAAATATCACAGATGAAGGAGCAAGGTAAAAACCTACAAGACCAAATAAATGAAGAGGAAATAGGCAATCTACCTGAAAAAGAATTCAGAGTAATGATAGTAAAGATCATCCAGAATCTCAGAAATAGAATGGAGGCACAGATTGAGAAAATACAAGAAATGTTTAACACAGATCTAGAAGAACAAACAAACAGAGATGAACAACATAATGACTGAAATGAAAAATACACTAGAAGGAATCAAAAACTGAGGCAGAAGAACAAATAAGTGAGCTGGAAGACAAAATGGTGGAAATAACTGCCAAGGAGCAGACTAAAGAAAAAAGAATGAAAAGAATTGAAGACAATTTCAGAGACCTCTGGGACAACAATAAATGTACCAACATTCGAATTATAGGGGTCCCAAAAGAAGAGGAGAAAAAGAAAGGGCCTGAGAAAATATTTGAAGAGATTATAGCTGAAAACTTCCCTAACATGGGAGAGAAAATAGTCATTCAGGTCCAGGAAGCACAGAGAGTCCCATATAGGATAAACCCTAGGAAAAACACACCAAGACACATATTAATCAAACTAATAAAAATTAAACTCAAAGAAAAAATATTAAAAGCAGCAAGGGAAAAACAAAAAACAACATACAAAGGAATCCCCATAAGTTATCAGCGGGTTTTTCAGTGGAAACTCTTCAGGCCAGAAGGGAGTGGCAGGATATACTTAAAGTGATGAAAGAGAAAAACCTACAACCAAGATTACTCTAGCCAGAAAGGATCTCATTCAGATTTGACGGAGAAGTCAAAAGCTTTTCAGACAAGCAAAAGCTAAGAGAATTCAGCACCACCAAACCAGCTTTACCGCAAATGCTAAAGAAACTTCTCAAAGAGGGAAACACAAAAGAAGAGAAAGACCCACAAAAACCAACCCAAAACAACTAAGAAAATGGTAATAGGAACATACGTATCGATAATAACCTTGAATGTAAATGGATTAAATGCCCCAATGAAAAGACAGAGACTGGCTGAATGGATACAAAAACAAGACCCATATATATGCTATCTCCAAGAGACCCACTTCAGACCTAGGGACACATACAAACTGAACATGAAGGGATGGAAAAAGATATTCCATGCAAATGGAAATCAAAAGAAACCTGGAGTAGCAATACTCATATCAGATAAAATAGACTTTAAAATAAAGTCTGCTACAAGAGACAAGGAGGGACACTACATAATGATCAAAGGATCAATCCAAGAAGAAGATATAACAATTATAAATGTTTATGCACCCAACATAGGAGCACCTCAATACATATGGCAAATGCTAACAACCAGGAAAGGAGAAATCAACAGTAACACAGTAATAGTAGGGTGCCTTAACACACCACTTACACCAATGGACAGATCATCCAAACGAAAAATAAATAAGGAAGCACAAGCTTTAAATGATACAATAGACCAGATAGATCTAACTGATATTTATAGAACATTCCACCCAAAAGTGGCAGAATACACTTTCTTCTCAAGTGCACATGGAACATTCTCCAGGATAGATCACATTTTGGGTCAAAAATCAAGTCTTGGAAAATTTAAGAATATTGAAATCATATCAAGCATCTTTTCTGACCACAATGCTATTAGGTTGGAAATCAATTACATGAAAAAAACTGTAAAAAACACAAATACACGGAGGCTAAACAGTGCACTACTAAATAACCAAGAGATCACTGAAGAAATCAAAGAAGAAATAAAAAAATACATAGAAACAAATGACAATGAAAACACAACGACCCAAAACCTATGTGACGCAGCAAAAGCAGTCCTAAGAGGGAAGTTTATAGCAATACAATCTCACCTCAAGAAACAAGAAAAATCTCAAATAAACAATCTAACCCTACACTTAAAACAACTAGAGAAAGAAGAACAAAGAAAACCCAAAGTCAGTAGAAGGAAAGAAATCATAAAGATCAGAGCAGAAATAATGAAATAGAAACAAATAAAACAATAGCAAAGATCAATAAAACTAAAAGCTGGTTCTTTGATCAGATAAACAAAATTGATAAACCCTTAGCCAGACTCATCAAGAAAAAAAGGGAGAGGACGCAAATCAATAAAATTAGAAATGAAAAAGGAGAAATCACAACTGACACTGCAGAAATACAAAGGATTATAAGATACTACTACAAGCAACTATATGCCAATAAAGTGGACAACCACGAAGAAATGGACAAATTCTTGGAAAGGTACAATTTTCCAAGACTGAACCGGGAAGAATTAGAAAATATAAACAGGCCTATCACAAGTAATGAAATTGAAACCGTAATTTAAAATCTCCCAACAAACAAAAGTCTAGGACGAGATGGCTTCACAGGCAAATTCTATCAAACATTTAGAGAAGAGCTTACACCAATCATTCTCAAAATCTTCCAAAAAATTGCAGAGGGAGCAATTCATTCCATGAAGCCACCATCACCCTGATACCAAAACCAGTAAATGATATCACAAAACAAGAAAATTATAGACCAATATCACTGATGAACGTAGATGCAAAAATCCTCAACAAAATACTAGCAAACAGAATCCAACAGCACATTAAAAGGATCACACACCATGATCAAGTGGGATTTATCCTAGGGATGCAAGCATTCTTCAATATATGCAAATCAATGTGATACACCACATTAACAAATTAAGGAATAAAAACCATATGATCATCTCAATAGATGCAGAAAAGGCTTTTGACAAAATCCAACACCCATTTATGAAAAAAACTCTCCAGAAAATGGGTATAGAGGGAACCTACCTCAACATAACAAAGGAAATATATGACAAACCCACAGCAAACGTCATTCTCAATGGTGAAAAACTGAAAGCATTTCCACTAAGATCAGGAACAAGACAAGGATATCCACACTCACCACTCTTATTCAACATAGTTTTGGAAGTCCTAGCCACAGCAATCAGAGAAGAAAAAGAAATAAAAGGAATGCAAATTGGAAAAGAAGAAGTAAAACTGTCACTGTTTGCCAATGACATGATACTATACATAGAAAATCCTAAAGATACCACCAGAAAACTACTAGAACTAATCAGTGAATTTGGTAAGGTTGCAGGATACAAAATTAATGCACAGAAATCTCGGGCACTCCTATACACCAACAACGAAAAATCAAAAAGAGAAATTAAGGAAACACTCCCATTAACCATTACAACAAAAAGAATAAAATACCTAGGAATAAACCTGCTTAAGGAGGCAAAAGACTTGTACTAAGAAAACTATAAAACACTGATGAAAGAAGTCAAAGATGACATAAACAGATGGAGAAATATACCATGTTCTTGGATTGGAAGAATCAATATTGTGAAAATGACTATACTACCCAAAGCAATCTACAGATTCAACACAATCCATACCAAACTACCAATGACATTCTTCACAGAATTAGAATAAAAAATTTTACAATTTGTATGAAAACACAAAAGACCCCAAATAGCCAAAGCAATCCTGAGAAAGAAAAACGGAGTTGGAGGAATCAGGCTCCCTGACTTCAAACTATACCACAAAGCTACAGTAATCAAGACAGTATGGTACAGGCACAAAAACAGAAATATAGATCAATGGTACAAGATAGAATGCCCAGAGATAAACCCACGCACCTATGGTCACCTAATTTATGACAAAGGAGGCAAGAACATACAATGGAGGAAAGACAGCCTCTTCAATAAGTGGTGCTGGGAAAACTGGACAGCTACATATAAAAGAATGAAATTAGAACACTACCTAACATCATACACAAAAATAAGCTCCAAATGGATTAAAGACTTAAATGTAAGACCAGACACTATAAAACTCTTAGAGGAAAACATAGGAAAAACACTCTTTGACATAAACCACAGCAAGATCTTTTTCGACCCACCTCCTAAAGTAATGGAAATAAAAACAAAAATAAACAAATGGGACTTAATTAACCTTAAAAGCTTTTGCATAGCAAAGGAAACCATAGACAAGACAAAAACACAACCCTCACAATGGGAGAAACTATTTGCAAATGAAACAACAGACAAAGGATTAATCTCCAAAATATACAAACAGCTCATGGAGCTAGCTCAATATCAAAAAAACAAACAATTCATTTAAAAAATGGTCAGAAGACCTAAATAGACATCTCACCAAGGATGACATACAGATGGCCAAGAGGCACATGAAAAGATGCTCCACATCACTAATTACTAGAGAAATGCAAGTCAAAACTACAATGAGGCATCAACTCACGCCAGTCAGAATGGCCATTATCAAAATATCTAGAAACAATAAATGCTGGAAAGGGTGTGGTGTAAAGGGAATCCTCCTGCACTGTTGGTAGGATACAACCACTATGGAAAACAGTATGGAGGTTCCTTAAAAAACTAAAAATAGAACTACCATATGACCCAGCAATCCCACTACTGGGCACATACCCTGAGAAAACCATAATTCAAAAAGAGACATGTACCACAATGTTCATTGCAGCACTATCTACAATAGCCAGGCCATGGAGCCAACCTAAATGTCCATCAACAGACGAATGGATAAAGAAGATATGGCACATATATACAATGGAATATTACTCAGCCATAAAAAGAAATGAAATTGAGTTATTTGTAGTGAGGGGATGGACCTGGAGTCTGTCATACAGAGTGAAGTAAGTCAGAAAGAGAAAAACAAATACCATATGCTAACACATATATATGGAATCTAAAAACAAAAATGGTACTGATGAACCTAGTTGCAGGGCAGGAATAAAGTGACAGACATAGAAAATGGACTTGACGACATGGGGTGGGAGGGCGAAGCTGGGGCGAAGTGAGAGTAGCATCAACGTATATACACTACTGAATGTAAAATAGTTGGCTGGTGGGAAGCAGCTGCATAGCACAGGGAGATCGGCTCGGTGCTTCGCCATGACCTAGAGGGGTGGGATAGGGAGGATGGGAGGGAGGCTCAAGAGGGAGGGGATATGGGGACATTGTATGCATATGGCTGATTTGCTTTGTTGTGCAACAGAAACTAACACGGTATTGTGAAGTAATTATACTCCAATAAAGATCTATTAAAAAAATATCATGTAGGGCTTTCCTGGTGGCACAGTGGTTGAGAGTCCGCCTGCCAATGCAGAGGACATGGGTTCGTGCACCAGTCTGGGAAGATCCCACATACCGCGGAGTGGATGGGCCCGTGAGCCATGGCCACTGAGCCTGCGCGTCGGGAGCCTGTGCTCCACAACAGGAGAGGCCACAACAGTGAGAGGCCCGCGTACCGCAAAAAAAAAAAAAAAAAAAAATATCATATATACATGGGAATTCCCTGGCGGTCCAGTGGTTATGACTCGGGGCTTTTACTGCCAAGGGCCCGGGTCCAACCCCTGGTTGGGGAACTAAGATCCCACAAGCTGCACGGGGCGGCCAAAACAATATCATATATGTATATATATAATATACATACATATATGGATATACATAAACATGTAGACAGAGACAAAGGTCTTATAGTTTTTAATTTTAGCCATATCTCAGGTATAATAATACAAAACTCAAAAGAATCTGGATCCAAATTGTTTTTCTGGCCGACAGACTAATTTAAGGTTACCTGCTCAGATGGCCAAAGTTTTTTAATGAAGATTTTGTGCGTGTGTGTGTGTGTGTGTGTGTGTGCGTGCGCACACGCACACGCGCACTGTAAGGATTCTTTTAGAAAAGCTATTTTTAGAGTCATTTTGTCTCTTAGAAACTTCTGCATACCAATCAAAGAGTATCTTCCATCGTCTCTGAGAGGTTTGCAATCCTCTTTTCAAGGGCATCCCGTAAAGTGGACTATCTTATCTAAGTTAAAATTTCCCCGAAGTGGCCACTACAATTCCAAATTATCCTTTGTAAAGTTCATCCATTTTGCCAGAAAGGCACAAGATCCTGGTCCATAGTAGGTATACATACAAGAAGCAAGAGTTTTTAAGGGAGGAGGAGAATGAGATTTAGATGAGGTGGAACCTATCTCTTCCTCTAGATTCCCTGAAACAATCTGTGAGGACCTCAGTCATCCTACCATTGCCTAAATCCCAGGGAATCACAAGTTTCTCCCCTTTCAGACAGAAGGGTGACTTACCAAGAAGCTTCAACAAACAGAATACAGGTATGCACAATAAATTCCGAGAGCTCAACATGCAAAGAGAGCAACATTCAGGCTGACTGCAAGGTTGGCAAGAAAGTGGTGAGCTCAATGGGCCCAGTGGGTACCAGCACGTGGTTGCTCACTGGCCTCAGAGTTGTTGAGGGTCTTCTTTGGATACCACTTCTGATGTCAGAAAACTGTCAAAAATCCAGAAATAACATAATCAAAACCACCAAATCAATAAATAGTATTTAGTAAGAGTTTGTTGTGTATATAAAAACAGGAACTGGGAGCTTCCAGAGTCAAAGATGGATATGAAGGTCACAGGCATTAAATTACAGCAAGGCTTATAAAGTGAAAATGAGAGGAAAAAAAAGTGAAAATGAGAAAGTTATTAACGTTTACAATGACTGGTTATTACAATGGGGGGTTCTAGATGGCAGGGGATTGGTTAAAAGTGATTACCTCATACCATTTTAAAGACCATGACTTAAGGTTTTTTTTTTATGACTGTCAGAGGTATTTATAAGAAATAACCTAGGTTAAGTTTCATTTATGTTCATTTATGAACATAAGTTCATTTATGAACATTAAGTTCATTTATGAAATAAGCTAGATTTAGTTGAGCTTACTGGCTTAAATGGTTTTGTCTGCTCAGGGAATTCTCAAGTCCAGTCTCCATTTTGTATTTAATTTTAACCACACACACACACACACACACACACACACACACACACACACACACAC